ATAGTCTTATACCCTCAAGATAGAGGCGATATGTTCTGCTGAAATGCTGGTGTCGGTGTCATGATCAAGAAGACTGCAGTCCTCAGTAGAAAGTAGTTGATCATTCTAAAAGGAATCCAGTTCCAATCCTGCACCAGTCGCGTTGCCGGAGTAACGGGAATTTCCCGCAAGAAACGGGGCGATAAGGCAGACCTGGAGACGTTTTTCGTGTGTCGCTCGCCCCGCTCCGCCTTCAGCTAACAGTAAGAAAAAGTTCAGGGAGCTACACAATACGTCGCATCTTATGATACTGGTATTTACAGAGTAAGAACACTCATCCTGTACTCTTATCAAAACGTATTTTATATAAATTGTATCTGACTTAGGCTACTCCAAATTGCAAGGGTCCTTGTTTCACATTCTACGGAAAAATATGTAAGGCTTGCTGGAATTTTGCTAAAGAATAATTACATAAACGGACGTCTTAACAAACGTTATTCAAAGATGAGTAATAGATCCCTTTGTGTATGTTCCGAATGTTGAAGCTTAGACTTGGGAACAAAAAAGGAAGACAGCTTAATTATGCACTGAAATACACAGAATTTGCTATATGGAACTTTCGAACATAGTTTCTCTCGAAGTTGTTTCCCAGAAAGATAAACACAGGTTTGCTACTGTTTGTATCAGACCCAGTTCCTTGTGTTTTCTCTCATTTAGCAACAGCTAGCTTCATAATTTATTCTAATCCTAAATCGAGATGGTTGATATCAGCACCATCGAAATAAGAACTGGGACGACTACACTGTAGCCCTATAAATGTTAAACATTCAAACAAAAGAGTCCCACGGTCAATTTGGATTGTGTTACACGGTCAAAAACCTCATACCGTGCAGCATCCTTCCTCCACATGCAACCGATGTTACCCTGCAATTTGAAGATGCAGCGAACATTGAATCTGGGGCGGGTTCACACGTGGACCGTGACGGCGCTACCCAGATTTTGCATAAGAAAGCAACACGAACAATTTGTTGCAGACTATGTAAGACAACAACTGGATCTGCATTGATACGCATGCAGGCTGGATGATTGTGAATCGATTCCCGAAATAGTTAGAAACAACCGAGCCATCTTAACACGAAAAGTTCAAATCCATTCGTACGGTGCTTGTGTTGTTATTTTCTGTCTTAAAACAACTTAGACATCAGAACGAGTTCTGAACTCATCAATGACCGATCTCCCAACATGTTTTAATTTTCTCCAGCAGGCTATTTGCAAATCCTTTTTGTCATATTTCTTTGATAAATTGTTTATAAAAAGAAAGGAATTTAACTTTCCCATTCGATAAGAGGCTGGGTAGACCCCACAGTCTGGACGCAGTGGATGGAGGAAAAATACTGTATTCCCGTCGCCCTTTTATGCATATGTTTACTATAGGCAGTCACTGCTCTATTGCTTTATTGTTAACTTCAGTTGTAAAATTTAATTTTAATTTCACTTTAAAAACCAAAGGTTTGGTCGTAGTACTTGGATTGGGTGGTGGGTATTGGAATTGAGCCAGGAGAGTCTAGACAGTAAACAAACTGACAAAGGCTAGTGTTCGATTCACAGCAGGGATTTTTTATATTTGCACCGCCACTATGCCTGAGGACCAAGGCGGGTTATTTTGGATTAACCTATGCTTGATTGGAATAAGTTACATTGGATTAGGTTGCATTGTAGTGGCTTAGGTTGGGTTAGGTTACGTTAGGTTAGGTTTAGCTAGGTTAGCCAAGGCAAGGTTAGGTTAGATAAGGTTGTTTTGTTTTGAGACGGGTTACATTGTCGTGAGGAATTTCTAGCATGTTCATCGGGTGGTCGTGGGGATGTCCTGGAGAAGTGCTGGAAAAGTCATGGAGAATTTCTGAATAAATCTTAGAGTGGTGTAAGACAAGCCCTGGATAGTTTATGCGGTATGTAATTACTTATGGAGAAGTGCTGGGGAAGTCCTGGAAGGTTATGTGGAAGTCCTTAAGCGGCGATGGATGTCATCATATGTGGGTCGGTTATTTTGGATTGGTTTATGTTTGATTGGAATAAGTTGCATTTGATTATGTTACGTTGTATTGGATTACGTTTGGTTAGGTTAGGTTAGGTTAGGTTTAACTAGGTTTGCTAAGATAATGTTAGGTTGTTTAGGTTAGGTTAGATAAGTTTGTTTTGACTTGCGATGAGTTAGAATGACCTGGAGAATTTCTAGCGTGTTAATTGGGTGGTCGTGATGTCCTGGTGAAGTGCTGGAGAATTCATGGAAATGTGTTAAAGAAATTCTGGATAAGTCGTAGAGTGATGTAGGATAAGTCAAGGATAGTTTATGCTGAGTTTGTCATGGAGTATTGCGGGAGAAATTCTGGAGGTGCTGGAGAAGTCCTGGAGAAATTCTGGATAAGTCGTAGTGAGGTGTAGGACTAGTCCTGGATCATTGGTCATGGAGAAGTGCTGGTCATAATTTCTGGAGAAATTCTGGAGAAGTGCTAGAGAAGTCCTGGAGAAATTCTGGATAAGTCCTAGAGTGGTGTGGGACAAGTGCTGGATAGTTTATGCAAAATTTCATTGGTCATGGAGAAGTGCTGGAGACGTCCTGGAAGGTTATGTGGTAGTCCTTATATTGCTGAAATTGTGATAACTCGTATGGAATATTATTTCCACCTTTACTAAGAGTTCTACCAGAGCTCGTAAGCACTACGTCGTGGAGGCATGCAGAGGAAGACTGAAAAAGCAAGCCAAGTGGTATACTTGCCTCATGGACTCGCCTCGTAAGGACGAACGACATCGGTACTTTGAAAAAGTCGTAACATATTAGCCTGTAACATTCCTGAAATTGAGTCCTTCTTGAGAGGCTGACAGTCGTTCGGTTGGTCTATGCAATTCCCGACTTTTATGGAGCCCAAAGCTTTATTACAGTGTTCACACTTGCCAAATGACTCCAGTATACAGCTTTTCTACTCTGTTTAAAACTCGTTTTAATATTATCTTCCATCTGTTTATGTGAAAGACTCAAGGCCCCGAAAGTAAATTTTTGTACGCCGGTCGTAACTCCGTTACCCGGATACGCCGCGCGGTTCACCGTGCCTGAGATAATGAAATCGCTTCAGGAGGTGGTCACATCTCCTCCCGCCGGCTTAATAAGGCAGGTACAGGTAGCCCGTGACATTCTCCGCAAGACATTCATCGGGCAGCGTGACCTTCTTGTGGCTTCTGCGTGATCTTATTCGGAGTTCAACGTTTAGGCCGGAGTGTATGTGGTCCCTAGGTGAGGGTGAAGGTCTAAATGTCTATGTTACGTTCCTTATGCTTGTGGAATTACCGCAAGAAATCTGGTGACCATATTCCTGCCTTCTGAAGTTCTAGTGTTATTTTGGTTAAATATTCCTCCTTTTTATTAAAGTAAACTTGCATGCGTTCACTGTAAGTTAATAAATACAACAACAAAAAACACCGTGTCCGTTGTCCATCCATGTACATATGCTGTCGCTGAGACTACTTAACGGATACTGATTAAAAATGGTATTGTGGGGTTTACATTAAAATAGATGAGGGAACTTAATTTTGGTTCGCATCGGCCCAAGATTTCTTCACACGAAGTTCTACTTAGTTCCTTTTTCCTCCCTTCCTTAATATTTGTCTTCGTCTCTGTATTTATCAGCTATTTACATTTTCCACCAAACGGATATAACACCTTTAATAAAGGTATAATATCTTTCTTTATTTGATGATTTTCTGCCTTTAGCAGACGTTTAAATACGTCCAGGTTTTACATCTGTCTTCCTTATGCCACTAAGTAGATCTACCCCCATAGAGGTAAAAGAGAACCTACGAGTCACAACTGAGGAATTCTAGAAGTGTATTCGCTCAGCGCCGCGTGACAACGGAATTAATCAGATATATAATATCTTCTGCTGCTTCATCATGTAACTCAAGTCTCCCGTCACACTGAAACGAGATACAAGACGCCAATGTATCACAGAAATACACAAGGAACGGGAGACTGGGGAAATAAAAGTAATAAGTTTCTTAATTTGTACAACACTCTTTGCCAAATGTTATTGAGGTGATAGAACCTAGGAGGCTGAGAAGAACAGGTCATAAAGCAAGCATGGAAGAGATAAATATGTGCAGATTTCAGACGGAAAACTGAAGAGAAAAGACCAATTGAGAACCCTAAACGTAGAGAGGAAAATAATAGACTGAAGAAAATTGCTTATTAAGGAATTTTATAAATTTTACTCATTACCATATAAGCATAAGCATAAGTTGGAGAGGTGAGAAATTCGTACAAGACTGATTGAAAAATCCGAAAGGAAGAGACCGCGAGGTAGACCCAGGCATTGGTAGGAGGATAATATTAAAATAATCTTAAATGAATATGCGTTTGTGGACTGGATTTGTCTGTCTCAGGATAGAGTTCAGTGGCGATCCTTGTGAACATAGTAATGAGATCTGGGGTTAGGATGAAGATAGTAATCAGTGCATCTACCGACGTACGAACACGGTGCCGAAACCCAGAGGAACAACTAAATCAGAAGTGTCTCGATTTGTAATACACAAATAAAATAAATACTTGTGTAAAAGTGAACTTTGACACTGTCTGGAAAGTTTAAACTAGCTATTACATTAACAGAAGTAGATCAGAAGGTGATTTAAATGGGCTACATTAAGGCAAATGAACAAATTAAATGCAATATCAACTCAACAATTACAGGCCACATAACTTGAAACGGCAGAGATAATCTGACATATAGTATCTTTTGTAACACTGGCGACACCAAATGGCGTAACCAACACAGAGTGAGTGGACGCTTTTTCAGTAAGGATGAGGAATTTATTCTGGTGAAACACGTATTTTGTGTCCCTTGTTTCTGAAATCTGCCCGTGCTATAAAGATTTCAATGGAGAAGGATTTAGCCCACATATTTGAGGAGTTCTCCCACCATCTATCCTCATCTCTCCTCCCTCCAGGAGTTCACTTCACCGTTCGTGCTCAGTGAAGAGTGACAGAAGAAAGAATTTCCAGAGGGCGGACGGTCAGTCGAACCACGAGGGGCAGTGACGCGCAAGTTGTTTTCATACAGTGATCTTCAGTTCTTTACTACAGGTGTAACTCACTGACATCTCGCGATAGACGAACAAGGATTCTTCTCAGGTACGACCACTAACACAAATATTTATAGATAATTGCTCAGATGCAATTAATTCTTCTAACTTGCTCTTTGATGAGGCACCGGAAACACTAGGAAGTCACATTCGAAAGTGCATCATTACTGGGGGTAATATTTTTTCTTATTTATTTTCTGTTAATTACGTAATCTCATTCTTTGCGACGCTGTAGGCGTGGGTTAGAAGACCTACCATATTTATGAAAATATATGTGAGCGAAATATCTTATTTTAAATTTATTTTTATGTCCATTAATTGAGGGTAAATATTTTAGTTGGAAAAAATGGAGGAAAGAGAACACTTGGGAGACCTAGGCGTTTATGCGAGGGTAATATTAAAATAGATCTTAAAAATAGGGTGTGTGGGCGTGAACATGTTTAGTCTGCGAACACGTTAATAAAATTTTGGGCTGCGAGAAAATACGAAATTTTTAGACCGGCTAAGTGACTACCAGCTTCTCAAGTACTCTGTGCCATGGGGCTTATCAGAATATTATCAAAACTACAGCAGACTTACGGCTTCCTTAAGTTTATACATAATTTTTTTTATTTATCTGCGTTGTTCCATCGATCTTTTAAGATTATTATTTGCAATGTCTGAATTTTATGAGTGGTATTTATATCAGCTTCTAATTGTTACGATGTTGTTTATTCTCAGTATTTTAAAAAAATTAAATCCCTCAGGCAGATTACGACCATTTCTATTCTAATTCCTAGTCTGTAATTAGGTGAAAAAATTGTTAATGAAACACCTTGGAATGTGGGTGCGCAATTAATAGGTTTTGCAGCAGAGTGTTAAGTATCTGTCTGCAAATTACTCATCATTGTATTACATAAGACATTAACCCTGAAAAAGAGAAAGCATGTCTATACTCTTTGCCATAACTGCAATTAGAGTTCGCTGCCAAGGTTACAAATGAGAGCAGAGAGTCACAGGGCATAGGAAACGTCTCCTCTTACGTAAGATGACAGCCACACTTTCCACTTATACGTTTTATGTAATTTAATTTAAACTAAAGTAATTCACAAAGTATAAGTACGCCTACAGAATATTTCATATACAATAACTGGGTACTGTAATTCATATTATACGTATTGTAGAAAGATGTAACAGCGGAAGAAACTGAATTACATAAGAAAATGAAAAAGCGTAATTTCAATTTTCGTAAGAGTCGATTATGTTTATTGCTCAATTTCGTTCTATATTCCAAGCTCATTTCACCCATAGTAAAAAGCAGGAAAGAATGTCTTCAAACTCGCCGCCGAAAGAATCTCAAATCGTACGTATTGGATGCCATATTTATACTTAAAAATGTCAGCGTTACAAATGCCACGATGAATGTTACTACTGCAGGTAACACTTTTTGGTCTGTACTCCTAGTTAAAATCTCCATTGAAAGCGAATTTTTTATTTCATTTACATGACATCGCTACAGATACTTATAAAAATATTACTAAATCCATTTTAATTGCGATAAAACTAAAAGTTTCGTTCCGACTTGAACTGCAGCCTGGAACATGGCCATGTCTACTCACAAACACAGAGGTGTGGCCAACTCGCAACCCTGGCGTCTGTTTTGTTTGTGAACAGATGTGTTTATTTTGTTCCGTGTTTGTTTGCCCAAGTACTTAAATGAGTAGTGACATCTCAGAATTCCAAGACACTTTAAATCAAGGGAGAGGGGGAATAAACCCTTGCAAAATGAGTGCATAAATGAACAGCAATTCTTTGTTATGTGGTTGCCTTAAAACGAGGAAGTAATCGTCAATTGTGGCTGTTGGTAAGGCGGGGAAATTAAAGGTTAAAATGTGTTTTAACGCGTCATGAAGAAGCAAGACAGGGTGAAGGCGGTCCTTTGAATTTCAGATCGAGGGGCAAGTGAGTGGGCAAGTTCAAACGTAGGTCGCCATTCAACCGTGGGAACATATCCTCTTACCTGTTCAATAGGAGACTGTGTGGGTACCAGAGTCTGGATGCGGTGGCAGAGGAAACCTTTCTTTTCTAAGCAGGGGATTGAATAAAATCGTCCAAATCGTAACTAGTCACTTGGACTGGCTGAAGTGATTTGAATCACACAACGAGGGAACATTAATTCAAATAAATGAAGCACAGTTTTTCTGTCCTCTTCCAAACATGATCGACTCTGGAGCCCATCTAATGCTTCACTACCCAAAAGGGTGTTGAGGGCAACGCGTCCTGAACAGGCCCAGACTTTGACATGATGCAACGTGGCCTTTAGCAATGTTTAGCTTCGGAGGCCCCATAACATTAGAACATTTAATACTAAGGACAATATGGAATATTTTTATCTTTAAGATTTGGTGTGATCTCTAACGAAAATGCAGGTAACTAAACTAGCAATAACGTAAAATTTCAACAGCAATTAAGGCTTTTAAAACAATACAATTAAAATAAAAACTTATTTCTTTGTCTGGGGCTCGTAATAACAGGAGGTCCCATGCTGTAGTTTCTTTAGGTTTCCGACGCTGAGAACTAGTGTGAAATTTCTCGTTTCCATCTAATAACAAGACCTCATGGGAGCTTTGCTTCCAATCGCCGTATGTCTTCACAGCTTGGTGCTTCCACGAACAAGAATTTCAGAAACTAAAAATTGATACACGAGTGTTCTGAATATGTCGGTAGCAAGGGATAAGACAGGCAGGTAGGCAGTCGAACTGCAGCAGAAAGGAATGCATGGAACGGTTGGTTGTGTCCCGTTAGGTGGCGAAGCCCTTCAGAGGCAACAGGGTGAAAGTGGTGCTTCATAGTAACGGTATTCCTTCAATAGCACAGGTGGCCGCCACTACTAGACCACATTTAGTAATAAAATAAGTGACGCAACCAAAACAGGAAGACACGGAAAAGAGCCTTTCTCGAAAAGGCAATGGTTGCTCAGCTGCTCAAGAAATTCCCCGCCTTTTATGGAACTACAACGTTGATAAACGTGTTAACAAAAGCAGCCACTTGCCGGATTAATCGGAAATTGGATTCTCCTTCCATCTTCAGGTAAAAAAGGACAGAACCCTATATGTTGGGCATTTTATGTTTAAAGTACTTTTAAGTATGGTTTCTAACTGATGAAATGTGAGCAAAATAATACACATTCTCACTCTATTCTACACAACTCTCTTGTTTTGTGTTACTACGGTGTAGTGCCCTGCCACAGAAATAAACAAATGTTTAATAAATCTGAATAAAACGCAGTTTAAGTAACAAGTTAACATGTTTCCGTTTGAAGGCTGAGGAAATTCCAGCAGTCCGTTATACCGCGATGCTTGATCAGCAGCAAGCGGCCATACTAACACCACGACCCGTCTGGAGGGTTAAGGTCACTGCTTCGTGATCGGAATGCAGTTTCCTATCATCCTTGACAAGAATCCAAATCTACATCACATCCTCTAGTCCTCTAGGCCGTTGACCCGCACAGTCTGTGACGTAATGTAAACAACAGAAAGAAAACTATCACACTTACCTAGAAGGAAATGTACCGAAATGCATACGCGTATAGTGGGTAGAGCCTAAAACTGTACTGTAACCTAAAAATCTGCTCATGTCATGAAATTAGCCTACAGTTTTGTGGTAAAAAAATTGTTTCGATATGACTTTGCAGTATAGGAAACTTCTCCGTATTCGAAAGGTCCCGGGTTCAAATCTCCCCACGGTGATCGACTATCCTCGCTGAGGAACTTAACCTCTGCGAGACATTATAACTTTTTCATCCCCTCTTTTACAAAAGTTTTCTTTTGTGATATGCGCCATTGTCATTCCTACTAATTCAGTTACAGTTCTCATTTTAACGGAATGCTGGTAGATGCATTTGACCCGTATTTCCTTCCCCACTTCTGCTAGCAGAAAACACGTTTTTTTTATTAATAGGATTTCGTAGAAACGATTCTTGTAGTAAGTATTACATTTATGTCGCAGAAGTTAATGTACTGCCACCGGACATTTTTAATCGCCTATTTTGCTTTCATGGATTACGTCGCTGCGCAAAGGTCAGTGCATGTAAGATTCGAGGTTTTCACAGCGGTGAGTACGAAGATTTCTGTCTTCTGGGTTGTTGCGCTGTGTAGTCTGGTCGATGTTAACCAACATTTCAGAGGTCATACTGCCTCCGTCATCAGGGCGATGAGTATGAAGATTTCTGTCTTCTGGGTTGTTACGCTGTGTACCAGAAGACAGAAATCTTCTGTCAGTGCATGTTTCTTAAAAGAATTAGGATACGCGGCAAGGAAGGTAATTATTATGGATTCATTCTTCATACTCGAAAACCAGATTTTACGTCTGAAATGGCAACAGAGTGTGTAAAGCACACGCATGTCAAATAATACTTTTTATTTAATTTTTGCGGAAACCCAGTTTGTTTGTTTGCTTTGATGCATGTATAGTTCTGCTCTTGTGGGCATAAAATGCGTAAGTAGTGATGCTAGATGGCAGATTGTTTTATCTTACAAGTTCTGCTACGATTGGGCAGTTTTTAAACATATCTCTGAAGTATGGTCGCCGAAAACATGGCTGATATTTTCCATTGCTGTTGAAAGGGATGGGAAAGGACGATTGGAGAAACGAGGGAACGAGATGAAAGTGCGAAAAGGGGAAAGGAAAGAAATAAAGGAGAGAAGGTATCCCCCAACCCCCCATCAAATTCTACGGGACTCTCGGAACATGCGGACTTTATATGTCCATTTTATGCACTCCGTAAGCTACTGATAAGGCATGGAAACGAAGAACAATAGCTACGAGTCACAGAACCAACTGCATTCTGCAGCAATCAGCGTATACACGCTGTAAATGTAGTTTAGGAAGACAACTGCTCTCAATTGGTATAAGATATAATGCCATGCTGGAGGCCATGACTTACAAATAACAACGAGCAGTACTTCCTTCAGTAGGTCAGGCAAAGGCAAATGACGTCAGCATAAGCATCGTTTCTGCCACGATGGGATGCCGGTTGTTCACCTCCTGATCATGGTCACAGGGCCAGCTGGAGGAGGCAGTTCGCACTGATTGTGAAGACAGTTACATCATTGGCGTCAAAGCATAATTATCGTTCGACCGAAGCAGCAGTTCTCTGATATTTTGCAGGAGGTCATATTAACAGTTCTATTCCAAGCATAATATTGTCACGCCATTTACAAGGGAATTTCTCCCAAGCTGGTACCTAGGTTATGATTCTTTAAAAAAAAGCCGCCAACACATGGCTGTTTTTATTATATAAAGTATCATCTTAAATAACATTTGTATCGTGGACAAAGCACGGCTGGGGCTGACCACTCAACTCCCCTCCTCCAAACATCGCGGAGGTCCAAATCGAATAGGAGATATAAGTTCCCTATCCCCGCGACACATAGGCATGTAGCGTGACAGCTGTACTTGAAGTTTTATAAACAATTTAATACATAACATCTCCTAAAAGCAAGAATACAAAATTCTTGTGGCTACCATATTATATTAATGTAGATTCTACAAAAGAATAACCTTAACTAAAGTAACATATTTTTCAAAGATGTATCACTGTCCATTTGCGGATCATCAATTAACTGGTGACAATTCAGTTTAGACCACAGAAACTAGAATAGCTGCTGTGCTCACGTGTTGGTGATAGGGATTAAACAGGAAGGATGAGCAATTATGTCCAACATTGACATAAACATTTATAAAAATCTGTTCTTCTTTAGTTCCTTCGTGCTGACCGCACTTAAACACACAGACACCGCCATATTAAAAACCAGTTTTCCTTATAAAACACGGAAAGTAAGCCACGAACATTGAGTTCGACGATTTGTACTCGTCTGACAAGAATGTTAGTGTGTGGCCTTATATGACAGAACCTTGACGATACACATCTTCGCATGTAGCAGTGAATATCAGTTACGTCTGTAGAAATCATTACGTACAACCTGAGCACAACTTTTAACTACACGAAATACACTGTACTGGAGCAGAAATAACTGAACTAATTCAGGGAACATGAATGTGGAGATCACGAATTAGGAGTAAATAATTTCAGACGTCGCCATATGATTCAAGACAACTTAAACACAGACATTCGTCAACCACACTGTTTAAAAACACAAAGTTTCTGCGCACGTAACATAGACTTATGCCGTTGCTGAGCGTCTTTGTTCGCTATAATAATTAAATATTTATAATTCTAACTAATTGGGTACATTTGCAAAAAAAGCGTGGTCACGAAAGGAAAAACGTGCCACCCGGCACAAATAAATACTGGCCGTCGAGTACATGGAAGGAAACGACATTCATTCACGCCACGAAGAAAACAAGGCATAATTCACCACCTGTGCAATAGTATTCAAGTAGAATAAGGCAAAGATGAGTCGTAACAGAGTAACCACACTGAGAATCCAGACAGGAAGTACCAGCGTAGAGAGTATGCATATCATGAATATACAAGAAGCCGGAATATTACGCCATCTTTATGTACACACCATAAGTTAAAAGGACGCCATTTGAAATTCTCCACCGACCGTATTTTTGTTCCGTAATGACTATTAAACTGACAGTCGATTAAAAGTGTAACTGACATTAACACCGATTAAGTTGATACAATAATTAAGATATAAACCGATTAAGTTGTTCTGTTTTGGGAAAATGATTAAATGCACAGACTACTCACGAGTCAGCTACGTCTCTCTACAACTACATTGCAATATACATCAACGCGAGATTGATCTCACACAAGATGTATGAGCTTCTGTAAGGGCTGTAGTCTCACGATTTGTCAATAGAAATATATCTCATTTATATTCTGATACATGTATCCAGATGTAAACCTACCGTTGCTGTAACATAACCTGTATTTAACAAAATGTTTTACCCTGCCGTACAGCTTCGTATCCTGTAATTTCCAAGAAAATCTTTAAAAATATTTCGGTATCTACCTTATTTTCAGGATCAGACAGAAAACCATAAAATGTTTAAGTCATAGCATACATACTGTGTTTGACTTTTCTTTTTCGATTATCACTTTATATTTGGGCATTAAGAATATGCATGGAGACGCACAGAGGTAGAAGCCGGAACAGATGTTATAGGCCACATTTTCGTGTTTGAATGAAAACTAAGAGAGTTTTAATTACGTATTCAAAATTATAGATACTATATTCATACAGACGGAAGACTTTTACTGTAGTCATGGGCTGATAAATCAACTAAAAACAATTATTTTATACACGTCGCTTCCTACAATTGGCGTTTCACTTTCTAATATTGTATCATCACTTTCAAGAGTTATTGGTGCAGTTGTCTTAACAGTAATACTTGTTGCATTGTACGTCTGACCCTTGTCCAGTTACTATCGTCTGTAACTGTTGCCAGGTGAGGAGAACAACAATGAGACTGCCACGGCCTTGCCGAGTTCTTCAGTTGGTGCTGTTGCTACTTTTGTGCCTAACGGCAACCAACATCTGCCATGCGAGGCCCCAACAACAATCCATATCAGGTAAAATCTGGTTCCAAACATTATATTTACAACATATGAGTCCAACCTTTGTTAGCAATGGAGAGTCAGTATGCTGTGAATAATAATTACTGCCTCTATTGTAAAATAACGATTCTCTGGAAGTTCGCTTTCGATTTAAGCAATTAGACAGAGTCTGAAAATGTGTTGTTGTAAGAAACATTAAAAGGCGACAGTTACTGGTCTAAGGGATTTATTGTTTTTAGAATCAGGAAAAATGTTGTTATGTCGATTGTGGTCAGCTGCGACGTGGTTTAATCCTTCACGTGGATACCAACTTTTCTGCGAAACTTATGACTCGCGTTCACAGCCCAGAAGGCTACATGTATATTTTCACACTTGTAAGAACCTATAAGCTATTAAATATCTACACTGTATAAATAATTTACAGCCATTATTGTCTGTACAATCTACAAGATAATGATATTTACAAATTATATCAAATAATCTTCTTAATCTGATATTTTGATATAATCTGCCACATTTTTTCAATTATCTGCGTAGTTTATAATTATGTTTCAACATATCGAGATCCCACGATTATATGAAAAAATGTTTTACTGTACATTTTACGTAGATTGTTATTGTATTAATTTACTTCATATTTCAGAAAGGTCAGTTACTGATCTTATTTTTAACATTTTGCTTGTTAGTAATACATAAGGTAAGAACCTTTAGAATAACTAAGCCTACAGTTCATCATATAAATTGTTTTAATTCATGGTGGTTGCAACGTAAGGGCGGTTTGGGGTTAATTTTTCTAATGTTACTTTGAATAACAAATAAAGATGAGTATATCCGAAGAATCAGACTTCTAACGGGAATATAACAATTAATTATATCGCCTATATATATATATATTTATTTATTTGCTTCTTTGTTCATTTATTTTAAGTCACATTTCGATCACGAAGCTAGGTAACTGTTTAACAAAGTATCTAACTGCATGACAGCAGAATTTTTTTTTTATACGAGTGCAATAAGCCCTATCTTTTATATTGCAGCAGATACTAATTCCGACATAAGTCGGTTTCCAATCACCCCAGATGGGAAACAGTCGACGAATGAAGATAAGTTCTTCGCTCCTGGGGGCTGGCGACCTGTAGCATCGGAGGGATCGTCTACAATCGGACATCAGATCCACATTGACCAAGATCGGAGCAGGTATAATAATAGCTTTCGAGGCCCTAGGGCAGCAGCCCCACGACGAAGCCTCAGTAATTCTACAATAGATTACCCGCCATTAAACAGCACACATAATGATATAGTCTCAAATTTAATTACTGGGCAGACAGTTCTTAATAATTTCTCCATCCCGAGAAATGACAACCGAAATGGGGCTTATTTCAGACCGGAGAATAGGCCCAGTGTTGATGGTAAGAGTAATTCGTTATCTTTAAAGCGCAATGAATCTAATAATATTAATTGGAAGCAAAGGTTAGAACTCCCAGCAACAACTAGGATGGTTCTTTCAAGAATTTTAGGTGCCTTTAATGGTAGCAGAAGTAATGTTAGTAGCAGCGCTACTCCAAATGAGAAAATTAACAACAGGCCTAAGCTTATACGCTTCGTGCCTCTAGGTTTATTTTCATCTATGACAAAAAATGCTAAGAATGTTTCGTCACAACTACATAAAATATTACGTAATAGATTTAAAAATAAGACGATCGTTGCTAATTTGTCTGATAATTCTACCGTAACAAATACAAGGAAAGACAACAGTTCGTTAACCACCAATGATGAACAGTTTTGGTCTCCAATCGTGCTAACGTCAAGTGCGAAATCAAAAAACGAATCTCTGGACGACTCTTCAAATATTAAGAATAATTCTTCCAAAAATCTTGCAGGAACAAAGCGATATTCAATATTGACATCTTTCGGAAACACACACGAAGCATCAGATACAAATTACTTAGTTGATATAAACGGGAGTAACAATGCTGGTTCCAATGCTACAAACAAATTCAAACGCAATTCGACGAAAGAATCAGCTTCTGAAGCATGGCTTCCAATTGTGCAACCTGCAAAAGGTAATTCGAAGCTTTTAAATCATAGCATTCTAGCAGAAACAGAAAACCCCACCTATTCTAATTCAATACGCATACGTGATACAGATAATACATCTTCCAAGCCACCCGATACAACAAAACATTCACGGAAAAATTTGCATACGGCTGAAATTAACAATAATACGTCAGCAAGCATGATGAAATCAAAATTATCTGAAACATACCACTACGACAGCGCATTAGTAAATACCTTCCTTTCTAATAACATGCAAGACGTGCGTATTCCAAATAATAAATATCCCAATAAAGATTTAGATAAAGTAGAAACGGTTCATCAGAACTCTAGTAAGGCTTCATCGTCCGAAACAAAGCGATGGCCTGGCGGGACTTCTGGCATTGGATCACTGGACGATTTGATCCTTTATCACACGTACACAAGCGGGCATAAGAAGCCAAAACCCACAGCATGGACTCCCCAGGTCAGCCCTCACAAACCGTCTGTCACAATGCATCACCAACCTGGTGGGGGGTATATTGGCGTAATCAAGAAGCCCTCAGTCACAATTCACAGTTCTCACTGGGATTATGAACCATCATCAATACCTCCTCCTGAAGACAGCTATTATCCCACTCGGCCACCAAAACCAGGCATTGTGGTACTTGAAAACAGACCCCATACACCAAAACCACCATCTAACAATCATTACCCTAATCACAGGCCTACATATGGAGGATACGAACCCGAGAACAGCGGTCCCCCGTCCCCGTCAACCACGATGTACCCAGTAGTTCTCATCACCCCTCGCCCAACGGTTTCTCACAAACCGTCCACACCCGTGTATCATTACCCTTCGTCACATGGAGATACAGATCATTCTTACGTCACGACACCACACCCCTCGCACGAATCATCTTCAAAACCTTCAAACTGTCCCAATATTGTTATTACCGCAAACGGAAATTTGACTGCAGGCAATAAAGAAATATGTCCCGATGTTAACATCATGATTACGTCAGGGGTCACTAACAACAATGTAGTGGTGTCTGGCCCCTCTAGCACCACTCAGACTTCTGTCACGCCATTGATTGAAGATATTTACGAAGGAACAGTAACAACATACAAACCCTCCATAGTATTTAGCGAACCAGTGCAGCCTGTAACTACTATTTTCAATTCGGTAACGTCTGTGGTTTCGAGCATGTTAAGTCCTCTTCAATATCCACTCTGGTATTTTATGCTAGCTCCAGTTATGGTCATAATGGCTGGTGGTATTGGCATTGCGGCGTTGCTGTATCCTTGGGCCGTGGGCTGGAGGTCTAAAGGCCGCAGGGGGAGACTTGAGAAGAAAGCATTATCATACCCGCCCCCAAAGCCGCGTAGAAGACGCTCTTATTGTACCGCTGATTGCGTTGCTGAAGACTTCGTTCATGAAGCAATTATAACATTTGAACGTAGTTTAAATACTGTTCGATTTTCAAATTATGTGAATGACACTTTAGGTACTGCATCTAGGAGAAAAAAGTCGACAAAGAATAGACGCAGAAAAAGAAAAGATTTCATAATTAATTGGTGGTGGCTAAGAAGTGATACATGAAAATACGTTCTGTGAATAAGATTTGAGCAACTTCTCCGTTTTTATTGGAGACATAATTAGGTGACACCAGAATCACGATTCGAAAATTATTGCCTACATGTAACTGAAGCCTGCTTTACGATTGTCTGGGGTAAAAATATCAGACGCAGATGACAATTGAAATAGTCATGCACACTTCATCTAGAGTTTCACTCGCGTCTACACAGAATTTTGTCGTCAGCACACGTGTATTCTTGGCAGAAAGTTACCACCAATAAAGAGGAAAACAGTATAAAGGACACAAAGGTTTTAAAGATGAACTATTCCATCATTAGCATACTCTTGTTACAACGCGGAATACAAAATGTCTGTCAGAGACGACAGGTTCAAAAACGAGAAATTGCCTATAGAAATTTCATGTTTGCATTATTAAGCGTTGTATCCTGGTTATTTGAAGATTTAAGACTTTTTCAGAGCATTTTATAACCAGGTGAACAGAAACTTACAAGAAATTGCCATAGTATTGTCTTTTTTACACACAAACATTCTCATGAAATTTAATACTAGAAACTCTTGAAGTTTATGCAAATATTTTTTAACCATGTCGATCAGGTAAAATTGCCTGAATGAAGTTTTTAAATGTCTAGTTGAATACTTGGTAGATAGCAAAAGGCCTAAGCAAAGTCGTGGAGTGAGTGTTTATCCGATTCTGAGAAAAAGAAGCTGTCAGAGTAAAATAGAGCTTCTGGTAGTCTAGGATATTAGCAGATGACAATAGTACACAAAACTGCTTATGATTATGCAGCAGGCAGCACGAAGGACATCGAGTCGTGTGTAGAAGAGGTATTCTGTACATATGACAGATTCGAGAATAACAGAATACACTTCCGCGCTTTCATTTTGCGTGCAACACACGCCTAACGAAATATTATTAAGCTGGCTGCGTTGAGTGTTAATTTTTCTATTAAAAGAGCTCATATCTCAGGCCTCATAATAAAATTAAAGCGTTATGGCTCTCGTCTGGATTACCAAACTCACAAAGGAAATTTAAGTTTTCAGTTTATTTTGCGCAAAACAAAAACTAAGTGAAATCACAGACGACTTAATCTTTTATGTAAATCGATGCCAAACTACTTCTACAGTACTTTCAACTGTTTAAGGAATACCTCCAGAAATCATTATTCAAAGATCTTATGTATTTTTTAAAATGATCTAATATCTTATATTTTAAATTGTTCAGTGCTGTGACTAAATAAGCTGCTTAAGGAAATATATCTGCGCAGATTGGAATTTTGTTTGTTGAGAAAGTACTGAAAACAATTAAATTGCATTTTAATTTATGTAGAATTAGAATCTAAACTCTCCTTTCTTGAAAAATGATACAGATTTTTCTATCTGCTCCACAAACATTCCTTGATAAGTTTTATTTTTATATCTACATGATTCTGAACAGAGGGACATAGAAGTTTAAAACCCCAAAGTGTCTTTTAAAAAATGGAACATTAATAAATCATCTTAAAACTCATAACACAGTTTACTGCATCACTTACGGTGAAGGTAAATTTTCCAGGGATACGAAAGTGCTGGAATGGGAATATTTGAAGAGAAATGTGTTATTTTTATGTAACTGTTTGTTCTATACACCGACAGGTATATTAAAATAATGCACTTCTGTGAATACGGAATAATTTTCTGATTCTCCAGGAAGTTACGGTCAAGGGATTATGCAATTGTTATGGAGCAAAGAGCAGTGAATAATACAGTTCTTGTCTTGTGGTATTGTAAAGTAGGACATGTCGGCCTAACACGGTGATGGAATAACTTGCTCTGACTAATCCATTGATCTAATTACTGATTAGAATTTAAAACGGTTATGTTGTTAGTATCGTGCTTTATTATGTAACATGTGAATGTATTAACCTTATTAACCAAATTAAACTCATACTAACAATTACAAGTTGTTTTTGTTTACTAACCTATAATCAATCCCCTTGGAAAACTGTACACAGCCTGATGCTAATTTTAACCAAATACGAAGCGTGTCTGAATTATGCACCTCTTTTCAGCGAGCGATATCGGGTGGGGCAAAGAAAACGTGAGGTTGGTCGTAAGTAACAGAGGCGTTCAGCAACTAGACAGAAAAATCGCTTTGGCACGGGCCAAAGTTTTGTTTTGAAAGTGAGTAGATAGGTAGTGAAGCAGTCCGCCATGATCATTGTGATGATGTAAAAAATTGTGCCCCGGATAAGCAATCCAATCGCTCTTTTAGCACACAGTGCCTTAGGTGAGGTTTCAGGTTCGTACGGCGGAGAGTACAAGGACGAATGTCCTGAGTCAGTGCGTTGAAATAGTCCACGACTGCCTCCTTCAATCACCATTCTAAATTCTCTCTAAAAAATCATCCCATTGTTTCATTAGATGACAATTTCTACAATGGAAACAGCGTAACTAAATAATCTACTCGACTTATTGTAACTTTATCAGAGTACGGTTGTAATTCTGTCAGGTAACACTTCTCCTTCTACTTGTCTCCCAATATCGCTCTCTGAAGAAGGATACGTTGTTAACATAATTACTGTATGTGAACAATTTTATTTGGAATATAGTTTCGACAGTGTATTACGACCATCTGCTTTTATACAGAACTGATAAGTGGCTCTGTTTCCATTATTGGACCACGTTTCTTGGAATTGGTGGATTCTGCTACTTGTTGATTGTAAAAAATGTGTACTGTTCTGTAGCAAACGTTTTCGTCTGTCGTTATGGACAAGTTAGAAACCGATTCCTAAGTCACCTTACCTTCAACCACTGCCCCAAACCAAGTCTGGCTTGGAGGTATAACAGTGATTTGGCTACAAGTTCAAATATGATATTAGTCATATTTGTCACATATTTTTCTTATTGGAAATTTGATGTCATTTACAGAGTCAGGCTTGAGAAAGGGGATGATGGAAAACAGAGAGGAGGGAAGAGTGAAAGCACAGCAGATACCAAGCAAGTGACAACCCCTTACAACAATGCCACTCTTTTAGAAACGTCTGTCAACAATACGGGGCGTGCCAAGCAGTCTTCTCCTGTGGGAGATTCTATAAAGTCTTTAGCAAATCAACTGCTAGGATCACACTATTTCGAAAGAGACAGTGACGAAAGTGAAAGATACAGTGACGAAGACAGCAGAGATACAATGGTGGACGAGGACGTAAGAACGCCACCTAAACTAAAGTCACAAATAAAATATAAGCAGAATAATCAACATGCAAAATTATCGCCGAAAACAACAGAAGTTCCTGTATACGAACATCGCAACGATGGTACCGAAGAGGAGATGAATCACAAAGGAATTGCTGTTCCCGTCATAATTGAAGATGAAGACGACGTAGAAGAAACTATTGATAAACTTACACAAGCTCAGCCGATTATCACACGACAGACTACAACATCAGCTTCTCAAAAAAGGAAACCTACATCGACGATGACCACATCGAAACCACATCATGAGACTACGTCATCTGAAGGTGTGTCAACCTGGGTCCTTCTTAGTGGCAGCAGTCCCCCAACGACGCCTTCACATCTTCAAAACAAAGGGAAGACTAACAAAACACCAACCCCAGGGAACCGCAAAGCTACACAAACCACACCAACAGCAGCACCCTTGAAAACGGCTGATTCATCAGAGGTGACTCAAGTCTCGAATCAAGTTTCTAGCAGTGGCTTTGGACAGTCAACTATAGAGCCGTATTATTATGGCCCTCGCCCCCTTGTGAACACTGAGGGTCCTACAATATCTACAAGAAAACCTGCTGGAATAGTAAGCCTATCGTCACAGCCACACACTCCAGTAGGAAAACCTCATTTGTATGAAAATGAAACACTCGAAATGTTTAAACTTACGAAAACACGGAAACCAAACCCAACACGTACAACGACAGTAAAATCAAAAGTTGTATCTACCACACCCATCACAACAACTCCCATCCCAAGTTCCCCTCCGAAACGATACCCTGTTAACCAACAAAACAACAACCAGAAAACACAGCCGAGAGTGACAACAGTAAGTCCAATTTTAATGACAACAAATGGTTATAAAGACACTGATGAACCTGTCAGACATATAGCCGCAGTCACTACTGCTGAAAATGAAACCATCTCTTCTGAAGAAAACGACATGGAAGACAGCAACACGGAAGCAACTGTAGAAACCACGACGAAGCGCCGCAGACGTCCAACTGGAGGGAACAAAAAGAGAAAGAAGATTAAGAATCGACGTAGACGACCCACTAACCGACCAGAAGTAACCGAAGACCCTGAGAGCAAAACTGGTGATCTGAACGCTACTTCAACTAACAACAAACTGGCTACAAAGGAACGCCCTCTATCGACTAGAATATACAACTATCTTGCAAGAGAGGTGATGTCTTCGGTTGGAGTAGGGCTGATTGGGCTTGTGGTTACAGCTGGTCTTGCTGGACTAATCATGTATCCTTTCGGTGGAGGACTTGCCACAAGAAGAACTTACGAAGAAGTGTCTCCTCATCACACGAATCCCAATGCATACTATCATCATGGTGAATATGAAAGCGAAATCGACAACAGTCAATCAGAAGAGGAAGTATTTGGAAAACTGATAGAGGGTATGAATGATAAAGGTGAATTCACGTATGGTGGGATAGGTCAGGACACAACAGGCTATGCTGGGGTACCAGGGATTGGTGGCGATCAGATGAATGGGCAAGGATCCAAATACAAGACAGAAGACGTTGGCATAGAGGGCATGCACACATACAGTCCGGCAGGAGAGGCAATGCACGAGATTCGACAAGGTGTAAGGTACGGAGCAAGGATTGAGGGTGTTAACAGTCAACAGACAGGGGTGCGGTACGATTCTGCACAGCAGGGGACTGCAAGTTACACTGGTGCAGGCGAGAACATAGCGGGGCAGACGTTCTCACGTGGCAGCCAGCAAAATTATGGAAGCAATTTCGGCACCGGTAACACGCAAGATAGGTTTCAATATGGAGGAATGGCGACAAGGAGCGGAGAAATAGGAGATTCAGTAAGAGATTCACAACTCGTGTACAGTGGAACTGTAAATGCAGCTAAAAAGCAATACACAGCGGGAAGCGTGAATAGCAATACACACCATCATTTGGGCACAGAGACCACTGCATACGGAGGACCGTACTATACGCCAAGTTACGTGGAGTCACAGCCATATACGCGAAATCTTTATGGGGGTTTGACAGCCGTAGGAGGGCAGATACACGGAAATGTGCAAGTGGACAGTAAATCCGGGCGGTATCATTCAGGGAGCACAGAACGATCTTTAGAAAACAAACATAAAACTGAAAGCAACTCTGCCGAAAATTTGCAGTACAGAAGAGGTATTTCCGACAGCAGTAAAGAGTACAGAGATATTATAGGCACACAGCCACGATCAGGGGGTACCGTTATTGCTGTTTCTATTGGAAGACAATCGGGGTTACAAGGAAAGGAAAAAGAAACAGAGACTAAGCAGTCGGAAGGGCATAAACTAATTGAAAATATTTCAAGAGCTGAAGTGAGCTCGGGTCAACGAACATACGAACCACACAGAAAGCAAATGGTCGAGGACAGAAGTGCTGGAATTCACGAGAGAGACATGGAGTACGGCGATAAGCTTGATATCTCAAGCAGAGTATCTCCTGAGCTTCAGAAGAGAGGTTCGATCATTTCAGGTTTTGTTGAACACGGACCTAGAAGTTTAAGACGTAGGCGAGATGTCCATATGCCTACAAACCTTAAAGTTTCCGATGATGATATAAGAGACAATGAAATTGACAGTAATAATTTGAAAGGAAACGCGAGACAGAATCAGACTAAAAACCATCCTGGCCATGAGAAAAATTCAGTGTCTTCATACTTTGTACCAAAGAATATGGTGACATTAAGTGGCCATACGAAAATTAGTGGAGGAACTGCAAAACAAGACGTAGGAAGCAAAATAACAGAAACAGAGACGTCAACAATAAATGGAGGAGAGACAACTGATTCGATTGAAGGAACGAGAAACGTCGTTCAGGGTACGGCATCACCGATTGAAAGTACAACTCTCGAAGACATATTATCTACCACGACAGGATTTAACAGTGACGATACTGATGGTGAAGATTCTGGTATAGAGGAAGACGAAGATGCAGAATACGGAACAACTCCAGAAATTACGACAGTTTTTGACGAGACCTCAACAAAAGATTCGCAAATCGACACAACTAAAATTCCAGAAACAAAGTTTTCGCTTCTGGGTCTCTTTCGGCGTATAGCACGTTTTAAACTACAAATGGGGCTAAACTTATTGAAAAGCACATCCCAAGCATTGACGAACTACATAGAGGGAGTTCAGAGACGAATGGATTATAATAGTTCTAAGGTCAATTCGCGCAAGAAGTTTCAGGATAGGAACTTGAAAAGATAGGTCACTGATAAAAACGAACACAAATGAGTAAAATATAAGGAGAAAGCAGCAAACTAGTATGATTAAGGTGACTTACAGGGCAGTTTAATTTAATTACAAATTTTTGAATTATTTTAAACTATTGAGGAATTAAAAGTGATATATGGGTTTAGAAATGAAGTGTAACACACGTGGACCGATTGGATATAATTTTGTTGTTTCGAAAAAATTAGTTAAATCTACGAGAAATTATCCAATGGCAGATGTATTTATTACAGAAATATTGTTGCCTCATGCGGAATTATTTTCAACATACAAAGTGCTAATTTCCAGTACGACGGTATCTTCAGAAATTACATTTTTAGCAGTTTAAATCCACATTAAAGATTCAGCTTATCATCTGATTCCTACACAATATGTACTTGAATTTATCGACAAATCAATTCATTTGAAAATTACACGTTAAGTTATTCACACACGATTCCTCGGGATCAATGAAGGAGAGTTATGTATTTCAAGTAATTGGATTTTGCTATACACTTCTCTTCTAACACACTTGCGGAAAATGTTTCTGTAAACAAAATATGAGGACCACAATAGCCTTTTAAACTTTAATTAACTTTCACCTCTTCTCCCAAGATCGTTCACTGTACTACGCAACGGAAGTTCAGCATTTTATCTTTTATTAAAATACTTTAAAAAACGAAAGGCTGTGTCGATGAGTTCATCCTACTAAATATAGAGCGTTTGAATTATTATGACATGTTTAATGGTGTCTATACTTTCATACGTGGATGTAATTAGAAAACGTTGATCCTGTGAAGTCAACTTTTATATTAATCTCTCCAATGAATATATTAACCAAGACCCAGTTCCGTAATAAATTACCTAAGACGTAATAGATGTATCAATTAGATCCGAACATTATAGAAATATGAGACTTCTGATTTTGTCACGGCGGTGAAGATGTCAATGTTGACCATCTGAGTGCCAACGCCGTGTGGACTTGTAGGTAGATATATCCCGCAAGTCCAAACCGCGTTACCACCCACAAAACCAACACCAACATCGAAGAAATATTCGTGTGGCAATGTTCTGTTTCTTGGAGCCAAGTACCATAGAGTATTGAATTTCGTACGGTTGGCTTGATATGTAGTCAGGACGGCATCCTCACAAATAACGAAAACATGTAAACAGTAAGATGTAGAAATACTGTAGGTAATTTAAGCTAATTTTTACGATTATACATTTGCATGTCATTAAATACGAGGGAATCTTTCTGATTACAGATCTTATATTTAACGTCACATGGAATGGCTTATGTAGACAGAGAACGTAAAGATGTTTATTGTTCTAAGATCATAAAGTGACCATCGTTCTTGAAGGAACAAAAGTGGCTTGACGTAATGTAAATGAAAAGAAAGAAAGCGCCTGTTTATTTTATTGACATTGTTTTTGTATCTGGCATGTTGATTATTAACATGGAATTGTATTATTCCTCAGTGACGAGAAAGACGGTTTTGTATGTTATTAAATGCACTGAATTTTCAAATGTTTGTGTATATTAAACATATTTTGAATGCTTTACAGTTTATACTTTATTTTGCTTGAAGTAAATGTAATTATAGTCTGTAATATGCTACTATTACTTAATAAATAAAAGTTACATCTCTGGAATACATAATTTTATGTTAACATTAATATAACAAACGAACATATATAACAAAACATTAATTCAATCAGTGTCATATTGAATATCAGTATATACACAAGACTGAAAACTCAATACATTTCCGTAAAACAGAATAACTTTTATATTTCAGAATAAAGACACAATAATATGGAACCATATGCATAACTTAGTCTCCTGCTAAACAGATACACATTAATATTTGTAACGATATAATAATAGACAGCTGTATTGAGAAATCGTTCGAATAATTACACAAAATAAAAATAAATAAAGGTACTATATTTATCAAAGATGGAGCCACATTTGTAACACCCATTATTCATTCCTATGGAAACATTTCTACTGATAACCTCATACACACCAGCTCGAAAAGAAAACCTGTCTGTTTAACGTGCCGAAATCTTGTACACGAAACATTTATCGATTAACAAATATCAGAGATCGGATTTGGGTAAGAATGTGAACATATGCGAAGATTATCAGCAAAGCAGTCGCGTTTTAAATCATTGCCATCAAGGTCAGCTTTATTAAAGGTAAGGAAGCTTCTACATTACGTTTCAACCCTCTAGTGTCCACTGACAAATTAGATGTGACGGTAAATGTTCACTTCCGATTCTACGTCATACCTCGCGTGATACGAAGAAAATGTGTCATTCTAACATTAAATTTAATTTTGACGAATACAGACTGAATGTAAGAAAAATGGGAGATGCGAAGAACTTCTGTAAACCATATACCAGAGCGTGCTTACTCTGTAGATCCCGGTTTCAAATCTCGGCTTTGAGATCAATAGTACCCACTAGTAATTTTCGTAATTTTCCTTAGTCCCTCCAGCCTAATACTGGATTGTTTCCTCAAGACAGGCAAGGAATGGTTCTCTCGGTAGAATTTTCTTAACAACATTCACACTCACTACATCACTTAAAGCTATATCACATGTAACTTAAAAGACGTCATTTAATAAACTAACAAACAATTGGCATCTACTATTCGAAAATAATTATACTTCCTGTGAAACTACTAACGAGACACGAAATATGATTTGCCTATTGAAATTTGTAATAAGTTACAACAGTGTTTATTAATACATTATCATGACAAAACTAGCAAACATTCATTCATAAAGACTTCTAGATGAAATCGCACTTTAAATAATAATTTTAATCACATACAGAGTATAAATTACCTTAATCTAACTAGTCTCAATTCTATTGTCCAGAGAAAAATAAACAGTTTAATACGGACAGAATAATGTCGTTTTGATGAACTATAAAATTACATTTCCTTGTACAGTACTACTTCATTCAAGCAACTAGTTTACTCTGGAATTACCCACTTAATGTAACAAACTCAAAAACTTTCTTCAAATGCAATATTAAATAAACACATTTCACCGTCTATAAAAAATGAACGCAATGTTGCGTAAACACGAATTTTTCTTCAATACACAATCCTCTGCTTTTCTTAACACTAACTATAGGAAAGAAATTACTAGAAAATTATTTAGAGATACACAGCTTGTAATGTTGAAATCTTATGGATACGATGCGAAATAAGTGCGTCGAAAGCATGGTTAATCTTGGGTGATTTGAAGTTCTCACGGTAGTGAAGATGTCCATGGCGATCTGGGTGATGAGGCCGTGTTGACTTGTAAATGGGTACCAACGTTTCGGAGGAACATACTACCTCCATCAACTCGGAAAATGACGACAAGTAGAAGAAAAACATAACGTAGACAGCTAGAAAGACTAAAATTTGAGACTATCTTTCAAAAATAAGACAAACGCCTAAACAGTGAAAACATTAGTGCGTCGTAAGAATACCGCCGCAATTGGCTGATGGTAGGCACATAAATGAACCTGGCGAAACTATCTGTGTAAACGATACTGTTAAACAACATACAAACAAGATCACTGCAATTAAAGAACCTGATCAATTAAAAATAACCATGCCATTATTGACTATGAAGAATTACACAGACCTACGTCCCAAACACATGACGAATATTTTGCTTGTAAGAGACACTGACTTGTAGTCTCAGTGAGACTATAAAGTGTAGAAACATTTATTCACTGAAACCACAAGTCAAACTCTCTTATTAATTCAGCCATCAAGTGTTTGGTTATGTATTCTTCTCGCCATTTTCTTCCTCTTCGCTGTTCCTCTGTCCATTTTCCGTCTCTTTTCATCTAATTTTCTGTTATTTGACCGCAGGAGTTTGTAATCCTGAATCGGTGACGTTGTGGTTGCGTTGATATTAGGTACCAGTGTGCTTCTCTTCTTTCGTCCCAGCATCATTGGAACAAGAAGTGCCATGGTGGCTGGAACCATGCCCGCGCCCACAGCAGCCAGGACAGCTTTGCTGGGTCCTTTCTGCTGAACTGGCCTTGAGACGAGCCTTACAGGTACTGCTCTAGTATCGTTCTTCTCTACTCTTTTCAAGGCGTCAAATCTCTGGGCTTCGTCAACAGTCTGGAAGGTGCTCTCCACCTCCAGGAGGCCACCGTGCGAAGTTGTTGTATTCACCGTCCCATTCAGAGCCGGCAGGACTGTAAGTTTGATGGAACGGGTGGAAGTGATAGGTTTTGTGTTAAATGTAAGAGCTCTCTGGTATGAGTGATGGCGAACAGGTAGTGAATATCCTTTCGTGCTGGATAGCAACACCCATTCACCTTCACCGCTGTCGGGATAATTTTGAGGACGCCCACCGTCGTGATACACGACAGGAGTGGGGGGTCTGCGATGTGCTTCGTATTTGTAATCATCCTCGTATTGGTCTTGATGTTGAATATATTCTGTTTCCTGAGATGGCCATGGCTTGAAACTCCCAGCCCCTCCCGGACGATTTACAGGCATTGGCCAGTTTTCAGGCGTTCCTTCAGTTATAATATCTGGGTGATTCGAAGTTATCCACTGTTGATGAAGTCCATGGGTTGGCTTATAATTGTAATCACTCACAGGTCGTTCCAAGTGAAACGGTGGGTTGTGGGTAGATTCATGTGGCCAACTCTCAACTGTTGGTCGATTACTGACTAGGTATTGTGGTTTTATTGGTTTTTCATACTTCCAATCTGTTGGCCTATCACCATACTGAGGTCTGTCCCATGGCTTCAAAGGCTTTTCTGGACTCCAATTTTGTGTTGACGGCCTATTATCCCAGTGGTCTGAAGGCTTGGTCCACTGGGGACGTTTATTGCCTGTGTTTGAAGACTGCCATTTCGAGATTTTGCTGGAGGACCATGGAACTGCTTCAAGGGTGACCCAGCCGTCGCGGTCGTCATAAGGATGATTATGATGTTGGGCGTGAATCAGATTCCAGTGAGGTTTCGATTTACCATCAGCCGATACAGAGTCCTGATACTCCTCATCCTCAAGGTACAGGTTTGCCAATCGATTGGTTGGTTCCACTGAAGGTTCAACTACAGTTAAGTCTTTACTTCTGTTATCAGTAAAGTTTTTATTGTAACTGCTGCCAACTTTCACAAAAGATGCCGATGTTTCGTTCTTTGAAGACTGCCTAGCAGAATTTAATTTAGATTCAGCATAGTCGTTAAGGAATTTTTCCAAGACTTCTTGTGAGTATGGTTTGAAAGTGGGAGACGGTGTCGTATTTATGTTGATTGTTTCACTACAATGTCTTCCATTAGTGCAATCAATGGAGAAGTGAGGAATATGGACTGACGACCGAGGAAGGACTGTGGTGCTTGGGCTGGTGGGATGATGTGAGGATGTGACATGGAGTTCTCGACGCCACTGTGGGTCAGATGTAGTGGTGTCAACATTTGATCCCACAGTATTGTTTAGTTCATCTCCGATTGAGAATGGCCTTGATGTAATAATGACAGAATTGAGACGCGCTTTCCCAGGTTCTTGATACGGGGCTGGAGCACGATACAGAGCCAGTGGTCGATCAGGAGACTGGGAGAAATGCAATGTAGTCGGAGAGCACATCGAGTGCGATAGAAAAAGAGCAGTCAGGAGTGAGAACCTGATATTTATTACTTTCTCCAGTACTGAAATCATAATAGTAGGTGAGTGTCAGATTGTTCATAAGTTTTCACTCCTGCAGTGCATGCTCCACATCCAACCTGTAACAGGAACAGGCAATATAATTAACGGCGTTGTCTGTTATCAAAGATGCTATTTGCACAAACACATAACTTTAATGTTAGTTGTCTTAACGTTCCATTCCATTAAATAGCACTATAACTAACTAAAATTGCTCTACTTCCAACTCATGACTAGTAAGAACTATTTCGAAGACTTGAAGTGTTTTCAGACGGTAGAACCTATATAAATGGTTAAAATAATGCAGACTATAAGGAAATGAGTACATGGAATGATGACTACGAGGTGTGCAATTATCCCCATCTGTGTAAATCTTATTTCCAGGAATTTTGTTTAGTAAGTGATGACAAATAACAATGAAATTAATCATGATAGTTTTAGGTTGTGTTTTAGGAAATTAACACCAAAGAAGTTTGTTTATGAATACGTACTTCCGGAACTATATTTATTCAAAATGAATAAAAAAAAAGTCAAATAAATTTCACCAACCCCACCGAACAAAATGCCTGTACGCAATTCTTCGTAAAATTAATACAAAGGGAACAACTAAACAAGGTAACAATAATATAAGGGCAATGATCCCCCTCTTCGTAAACCTACCAGACCATAACGTTGTTGTCCAAGGTACAGTCTTGGAAAGAAAACTATAAGACGAAAATTAATGTCAGCCTTTACTATCTCAAGTACTTGGCATACTGCTATTCGGAATAACAAGATGTTTTATACGAACACACTTAAATTAGATACCAATAGTGTATCCGACAACGTGTATGACAAATACCCAAACTTATTAAAATCTCGTTCTTCTTAGTGTATAATTATGTTATTAATTTAGTATGTCTTAACGAAAAATGAATTATGAAAGTTTTCCAATAATGAATTTTATAGCCTTTTATATAGAAGGTAAGATTTATAGATGCTTATTTCCACATTAGTGAATGAAAGTTTTAAAATTATTTCTGCTGAAAATAAACGCAAGGAAAACTTATCAAATCCCTACAAGACACATAACGTAGACACTATCCTACTAGCGTACGAGATTAAACCATAACCGATGCATATAATAGTACCCTACTGTTAATATTAAGACATGCTGCCTGGAATCAGGTTTCCAGACGTAAGACCGGAAGATAAAATATCCTGAATTGAATGGTAAAGCGCATTCCCTGAACTTAATCTGATCATTACTTTGTGAGTATAATTTGCACTTAAGCTTTTAAATTCTGATCGAGTAAAGAAAAAAGCACGTGCAGGAAACGATAATAAAATAATTCTAATAATTTTGCTTAGGGAATAAAATTAATCACCTGTAATTAATGTTTAAGTACAACATGTAAACTATAAAATAAACAATAAACATAAGTGCTATATGATGAGGAATTAATAGCGTAACAACTGACCTGTGTATTTTCGAAAAATATCCAACGATGTCCAACTCCTTGGCTGTAGATACCACTCTAAGATTTAACTAAAAGTCCACTGTTTATAACCACTTCAAGTTCATTGTATGCCGATCACGAGGAAACTGAGTTCATCTTCTGGGATACAGTCTTATAATATACCAACAAGAGGTTGTGAAATGTATTTTATAATAATAAAACTATTCGCTACAGAGGAGAATAGAAAGATAAAATATTTGTCTCTTTTTTTAGTTTTTCTCCCTGAGCTGTGATTTGTCCGCCTTCCTTTCTTTCCGTGTTGCTACTACATTTGACCGGCTGGTGCTTGTCATTAAAACCCTTCCCTACTCCTTCATATCCTTTCAATGTCTTGCCCTCAATTTACTTGTAGAACATAACAAACCAACCAACGAAGTCGACTTCTGCTTGATCAACGGAGCGAACTAGATTTTAATTCTTGAAGCACGTACAGGTATATAAAATCGGGGTATTTTACGACTTTTTGCTCCACTATTCGTCTGCGTTACTCTTCATAATTATCCACGTCTTCTCGCCTTTATTCTTCAGCGTCTTATTATAACCCACTTCTCACACCCTTCTTAATATCCCTTGTTCCACATTTGTAATTGTGCGCACGGCGTCACTGACAATTTAAAAACTCTAATAAGCGTTTGTTCCTATAAAATGGGCCAGCACAATTGTGTTTGTGAACAGGGAGCTGATGAAATCGCATGGGTAACAGGACAACAGAGAAAACTGAACAATGTTGAGGGTCATAATGGCCTTTTCAAAACCCCCAAGCCTTAAATTATGCTGTTTAATAAACTCTTTTCGATCTACCAGGCTTCAAAGATGGTTCTAGAAACGTTGTTTGGTTCTTTCGCCTTTGAACCACCTGGCACGGCTGGTAGGCCGAGTAGAATTCATTATAGTTAGTTGCCATGAAAGCTCCAGATCATAAAAAATACTGTTTGTTTGACAGAAAACTAAAATCTTTCTAATGGCTCAAAACTATATACTGTCCTCAAGAACTTCCTGGGTCATATGGAGATGATTCCTAGGCAACCAAGGAATCGATCACGATAAGAATCGACGAGTTGCATGATTATCTTATCTGCCTCTTTCCCAATAAGTTTCCGAAACCTAGAAGACGCAAATCAATTTCACTATCGTTATAAATTCAGTCCTGAGGACATTTGATGATTAAGAAATGCTGGTAAAGGAGAAATCAGTTGTGATCCTACTATTTTATATTATAATTACTGATATTGAATTGTTCTTTATCGTAACAGTGACGACAGTTCTTTTATTTGAAATCTGACGTCGTATCTACGTATTTCGCTGCATTTTGTACTGTAACTATCACGAGAAAATATCACGATTAATAAACAGCCCTATGAACCAACACCATGTGTCACCTATCAGAGTTGTTCATTTCTAGATGCAATAGCAAACTGTGTCAAGCAACGATCCCTCTTCACAACGGACATCTAATTTTCTTTTTGTTGGTTCCGGGCACCGGAGATCGAATGGTTAGTTCAGACTGTGGCTGTCAAAACGTGCGCTCTCAGAAAAAGGCTATGAGAAATCTTGATAGACGGTGACTGGACGAGTGATTATCATGGTCCAGTGGAGTAACAATAACCCACAAACGTCAACACGTTCGATTTTAAATTAACCTCAGAATCTGACAACAGTCTGCTCCAAAATCATGGAAACGTTTTTCTTTAACACTTGGAATCTATATATAGTGCTATCTGACCTAAACTGTTGTCCTGCTTTCCTTGTTTCATTGAGGTATCGAGATGCTTTAAATCTCTCAATTTTTCAATAAGTATGTTATAAGCATCACATCACTAAAGGTCACCTGACTTCTCTACATTTTAATTACCTGCTATCAATATATCAAAAGCCGCCCACAGCAAATGCGTATAAATTCCACTTTAAAATAAGTCTTGAAACGTATAGAATATTGGTTACAAATGACACAGAAGTTTTCTTCGGTTATTTGTTTTTATTTAACTATTTATTCTTTTATTTTCAACAGGACATTCCTGTTTCACGTTGGCATGTCTTAATCTACATCAGTAAACAAGATAGAACAATCTGCAACTTAAATTTTTCTTCTTTCTGTAGATTTAGACTCAACCGCTATTCTGATTTAATAACCATCATTTGAATGGCCTTCCTATGTCTTTATTTCAGTCTGGTTTGTAACGAGGTGCAAATTTCGGGAGTTTGTCACTTAACATTTGCAGCTTAAACTGTGAGAAAGAGGTGATGACTGGAGAGAACGAGAAAGATCAATTTTTCAGTCCGTGTTTGTGTGCCCTGCTTTAGTGTCATGTGTTTCTCCAGTGATGATAACGACAATTAAGAGCACGACATTATTTCACACCTCACCGAAATCAGGTCCTCCTAGATCGCTACTCAGATTCAGAAACGCTTCTTTGATGCTAACCAAACTGGTAAAACTGGGTCGAGAAGGTTTTCTTTTGTTCCCTCTTTGTTGAGGTACTCGAAAAAAAAAATACCGTTCCGCTTCGAATCCCTGTCACACGAAAATACTAGAACGCGTTCTATTTTTAGTTGTCTTCGAAGTTATTTTTCTTTTGTGCTCTAAAATGCAAGACCATCAATCTTAACTCTCTGCTACACAATTGGCCTACCTGCCTCAACAAACCACGGTAGGAAACTCTGCTTAACATTACAGTTTCAAGCACAATTTTAAGCAAACTTGACAGAGGCAGACTCTCTCGGAACTGTTATAGCATATCTGTCCTTTATTAGGTGAGAGACACAGCATTTATTGTCATGACGAATATAAAGTTGTGATTGCAAGGTCTGCGTGTAAAGCTGACCACGTTCTCAGTAATGACACTAGAAGGCAGAATGCTCTATTTTAAAGGTGTTGTTATCATTAGGAAGTTTCTAGAAGTATTTATAATGGGGATTAAGGTTTCAAAGAAGCAAGGAAGAGTGGAGATTATGAATGAAGACACGAAAGAGATCATTCCCCATTGAACATCAACCGGTCTTTTCTAGTGATCAGTAATAAACTCTTACAGCGCAAGATTAACTTAAAGACAGTGAACTTAATAACTTCATAATATACCATGCCAAACAATATATAAACCTGTAGAGTTACATCCAAAAAAGGTGATTACACTAAGTAGCTGGTCAAAGTTTTACGTGAACAGCTCTATGTAATTTGCAATAACCATCGGTAAAAAGTGAAGAATAAGTCCCTTAGCTGCTGAAGTACTAGGCGAGTGATTCCATTGGTTTGATAACAATTTCATTCACCTGTAAAAAACAACAACAAACTAATGGCTTTCAAGTTTAAAATAAATTGCTTAAATAAGTTCTTAACAACCTAATTGGATAAAATAAAAATTAATTCAGTTAAATAATAAAATATACAATAAATACTACACGATATCTTATTTCTAGTTTACATTTATCATTTTGTAAAGAATAATAGACCTGCGGTGTCATAATGCGCGCGCGTTCCTTACCTTTTTTGCTAACAGATGTAATATCACAGAAATTCTTTGAATAAAATGTCATTGCTCTCTACTACATTTTCTGTGTTTTTTAAAATTTATTTGCATAATAATATCAACATCGCTGTTCTGAGAAATTTCGTTTATGTAACAATAAAATACACTGAAATAATGACCTTGATACGTTATACAAAATTAGGTTTGCACACGCACGAAACCGGAAACAACAAATTAAATTTGATGGGTTTTGAACCATGGTCCTGTATCCCAGTCGAGAGGTTAGCACTCTTTCTTGAAACGTAAGATCCTAAGTTTGAATGTCGGTCTATAAAGAGTATATCCTGATTGAGATTGTTTTTTTGTGGGGGGGGCAGGCAAGTGCATTAATTATATCTTAGAATATGACTGCTCTTCTCTGGACGCTGCTGATAATCCACATTCAACCGTTTAGACGTCAATCGAACTGACCTGTACGTGTGTGGGAGAACTCAGGGCGTATTCGATGGCGGACGCCACGTCACTGGGGTCCAGAGACGGCTTTTTGTACACTGTCTCGTGAATGTCTGGCCCTAGACACGTCTTAAATATGTTAGATTTCACCAGCCCAGGGCTTATACTCTGAAAATTACACACAGAGACATTTTGAATCTGAGTTCCTTCACCGTGAAATACTTATAACAAATTTAATTTGAAATGGACGTCACGACTTCCAAGGTGCACGCTTTATAATTTTCACGCCTCGGAATTAAGACGTACAATTAACTGCAGGTTGCGACAATCTGCAGATATTTAATTTTAGCGACTAAGTTGGAATGAGTTGAAATGAGATATTATAATTAATTTATTTATGCTTCATACTCTGGTTCCTCCAGATTTATACATGGCTCTTCATCAAATATCATCACAGTGATCACAAAAAGGAGGATGAGATGGACAGGACCTGCAGAACTGATTTGGGAGATGAGCGAAAAAAATAAAAAAATAAATTTACTTGGAATATCTAAAAGAAAGGGGACATTTCGGAGACGTAGTCGCAGACGAGAGGATTTTGTGTGATCGGAGAAAATAATGTCTCCTAATGAACCTACCATAATGTAAGACAAAAGAACTGCCATTTTTGCACGAAGAAAGTGTAATCAAAGGAAACTTTTTTCTGAAAATTAAAAAAAACTACTTATGTTATCTGCAGCAACAACGAATAATCTTAAGGTCTGTATTATTATATTATACAACAGCAGTAAAAAAAATTAGTTCCTTTGTTAGAAAATTTGGCAACAAGCAAACAGTCTATGGAACAAGAATATTATTAAGATGAGCCTCAGAGAAAGAGGGGTAGAAATTATTGTTTGAATTTATTTGACCTTGGACAGAGACGACGTTTAGGCTTTTTTGAACACGGTAACGAACCTTCGGATTCCACACAAGACGAGAAGTTTCTGGACTGGTAATGCGACTAACAGCTTCTTAAGGACTACATGGACTTTGTTATTTCAATTTAAGGGCCACTTGAAGAACCTAAATGAAGTTTTTCGCGTTTGGGCCTAAATCATGAGTTCGCAGCCTGATTCTGATGAAAACTCATGGGCCTATAAGGCATTCTATGTGAGTACTACGACCATCTAGTTACGGTGCAGGTAAGGTCTGCTTGTTCCTTACCGTGACTCGGATCCTGGTGTTGACTTCTGTGAGTTCCTGGCGCAAACCGTCAGTCAGCGCACTCACGGCGTGTTTGGTGGCGGCGTAGAAGTGCAATGGGCCGAACGGATGCACCATGTGAGCCAGGGTACTGCTTAAAAACATCGCCCTGAACTATTTATTCAGTTACAATGTCCGGTGTTTACCTTTCGGACGGAAAGGCCGTGTAATCTGTTTGCTTTCTGAATACTATAAATTGCCACATATAAAACCATAATGCTGCTAATTGTTTTATGCGTAATATTAGCTTCCATTCAGTTCACAACATTTTGTCATCAAATATCCTAGCCCAAAACTATAAATTAAAACATACAACACTTTAATTGAAGAACCCAATTTAACAACACAGCAGGTCCCAAATGGAAAAGCCCATCTCCATCTAGAATAAAGAAAAGTAGGCTTATGCATTAAAAAGTAACCCAATCGGCTTCTAAAGCCAAACCGAAAGTTCCATTTCAATATTATTATATTTTTCTCTGTAGCAGATGCACATAATTTCATTTATTTACACTGCCATCTTTCTGCAGCAAAGTTCTTGCAAGCGATTTTATATGAAAAAAATATCTGAATCAAGTGATGAATAGTCTGAAGCCGATATCAATATGAATAGCAATTCCGAGTCCTCCACAAAGGAAGTGAATCTAAATAAAAGCTGTCCTTTCGAAGGAAGTACGCGAGGTTTAACCTAAACACTGTACTGAACTAAGTGAACTAGTTCACGCTCCAGAGCCTTTCTGCGCACTGCGAAAGTACGGCTGTACCCAGTAGACAGCTCTGGTAGTCGTCACCAAATTCTATGCTTCAAGACTGGAGACTTCAGGTCCTCTTCCCCCGCGGCTCCAAGTCAACAGGACAGCTACGTTGCGAGTTCTAAATTGTCTTCACTCTTAAACAAGCCGTAGCACTGTTGTGCCGTGAATTTTAAATTATTATTTTTTTCACAAATTCGTAATAACTGCTGCTCATGATTTAAATTTCTGTTTGGTGATACGGAACATAAACCTAAAACTACTTAGTTATATTGTGTGATCAACAAGGCATTAGTTCGCTTCACGGCTGCGCCGCCTAGAAAACTCTGTGTAAGTCAGTCATTAACGTAGTTCTAATCAAACTGTCAACATAGACTTCTATACAGACCTGCAGAGGTTAAAAATGTGTCCATACTTGGCGTTACGACGACGCATAGAGGCTACGGCTTCTTTGGTGCAAAGGCACAGTGCAACCACATTAACGTCCAATAGGTGTTTCCACTCATCAGGATTACCCTCTGCGTGAAAAATGTAACATTCAGTAATCAGTGTCGAGCGCAATCCGATAAAAACGCTTGGCTCAAAGTCAAAAAGAGAAATAAACAGTCAACTGAAATGAATTTATTACCGAATTCAGTGGCATTTTCAGCATCCTACAAGCAAAACAATGCAACGAGCACGTTCGTTCATGCGCTTGGTAATAAAAGTTGTATCATTGGCAATAATCCATTTATTTTATATGCCGTGAAGGTCAACGAACTTTCTGAACGACGAACTCTTTTCTAGAAAATTTTCACAGTTCGATTTGATTTTCATATAACGTAGGTATTATATGTGGCGGCGAGTATGAAGATCATTGTCTTCTGAGATGGTGGACCGTAGTCTGATAGAAGTTTGCCGACGTTTCAAAGGTGCCTATATCATCGCCTTGGTGCAACATCCCAGAAAACAGTCATCTTCACAAATGAAATCGGGTCTAAATTTCCGATACCAAATTTTATCTAAATCCGTTCAACAGCTTTAGAGATACAACGTGTGGACGGACACAAATTCTCCATTATGTGTTTACTTCCTGTAAATAATTTATAAAAACCCTTTCTAAATTAAGGTAAAGTTCTAGAACCGTACTTATGACAAATTTTTGAGACCTCCTATGCACAAAATAGTTTATATTCCTACATTTTCACACTGAGTTGATATTTCACAAACACACACTGAATTTTTCAATAAATAAATCGCCCTGCGTTTTCAACAAACAGAGGCACCGATGTTTTCTGAAAAAATATCCTTATAGACTGGCGGTTTAAGATCGCAATAGACTGCAACACACTCATAAATAATTAATTTTTAACGGAGTAACGGATCGTTAGTTCTCACCGATAAGGCTGTTCTGACCAGTGACTCCTGCGTTGTTTACGAGTATGTCAACACCTCCCAAGCATGTTTCGATCCATCGGAATGTCTCCAGAACTTCATTCTCATTACACAGGTCACATTGCCTCGGATATAATTGCCCGAAGCTACCGTCTTTTGTAGCCCATTCCTGTAGAAATTAAATTTGTTTCCGTTACCTCCTGTTACACTAAAACATTACGGTAATCAAGAATCAAAGGCTATCTCCATTTATCCGTTTTGTTAAAATATTTGTCTTGATTTTGCGCATGACATTAAGGTTCAACATCGTGTTAAAAATTCGTTTTTGGATTCTAATCTGAGCCACCTGAAGATGGAGACAGTGTTCTTCCGAATCGTTGGTGTCTACCTATAAATACACATGGCATTACCACCCAGAAGACCAACAACGACGTTTTCACCATCATTAGAACCTCAAAACTCGCTCACACTTTAATCCAGTCCACACCTTCATACCTTATTTCTGCAGGATCCATTTTAACATCGTCACCGCATCAAAGTCTAGTTTTCCTACATAAGGCCTTTCCATGAGGTCATCTGACAAAATTTTTGAACATATTTATTATTTCCCCACCCGTGCTAAAAGTGCAAGTCATCACAATTTCCGCGATTTGATCACATAAAAAAAAACTGGTGAAAAATTCGTTAGAAACCACTTCGGAATCTTGGAAATAATATTAATAAATTCGTGTAGAATCGGGGTGTGATGATGTGGACTTGATTAAAGATGGGGTCCAGTGGTGGATTCCTTTGCAGAGCCTTCGGATTGTGTAAAATGAGGGGAATTTCTTGACAAGGTGAGCGACTATATTTTTAAATACATGTCTGTGTATTCCAAACTTCAGTCCGGTGAATATCAGTACTTTCAGATGTGACCGCAAGAATTCGCTAACATACACACCTGAAGAAGTTCGATATTGCGGTCTAGAGCAACAACAATCAGACCTAGTTTAAGAAGCCGCCGGGTGACGGCAGCACCTATTCCTGAGTTGGCTCCAGTTACTAGCGCCACTTTACCCGACCAACGTTCCATTCCAAACTCTGATAAGGAAATATCCATACGTTCTGGAACAGTAAATTAATTGCACTGTACATGTATCATGTTGGACAGGTGATCGATCTATATCAGTAAATCTGAAATTACCCGGAGTTTTCAGTCAGAGCTCCAACGGTATTAATTTTGGGGCGAAGGGGGTTTTAAAAATGAAAATGCAGATTTCCACAAATAAGTTCTTCGATTGACAAATATATGTTGGATCCGTCAGAAAGGAAATAAAATAAAAAAATGAAGGGAGGAATGAATAAGAGATAATGAAAGAAATGAACGAGTAACGTAAAAGGAAAGAAAGGCTTACTCTTCGTCACGAGGTTTAAGTGAAGAGAGTGCATCCTCTAACCACTCAGATGAAAGAAATGTTACACTAAATTTATAAGATATCCAGACCCATTTAAATGACAAATATAAAGCTAGGTCAAATACCAAAGATAAAGCTTGTTTCAATTTGAAACAAAAGATAAATACAGTCTTAGCCTCAACCTAGTGTCATCTGAAAGATAAAGCTATAATTATTACCAATGGTAATGATCAGTGTTATTTAGCAGAGTAATTTCTCTTGAAGAGAAAGGCAGAGACAAAGTTCGAAAACTCGTATGTATTTTACACATACAAATGCGAAATATTCAAACACTCTTCCACAACGAATATGATCGCTGCTGTTTTCTGCTGCAATAACGTTACTTTATTGATTATACAGTGTGTCCCAAAAAGATGTAAACAAATAACAATTACATACGTCAGTATTGAGTAAAGATATTTTTCGGACATTCTGTAGTTTACATGGCAATGATACTCACTTCAGAACGTCTTCAGAGCTTTGGCTGACTAATCAGCATTCCAACTTCGTATTTTAAAAGCCCCGGATTCGATTGTTGACGTCGATACGGAATATTCTGAGAGCGGTAATTATATGACAATGAATTGTATAACAATAAGTTACATATAGATTCTACGTAAATTCCACTGACTTACCTGCACGAAAGAAATAAACTTACTTTACGACACTAAAATAATATTGCAACTTTTCTAAGCAACGATTTACCCCGTGAAACTGAAGAGTTATTTTGCATCAATTACTGTATTACAAACACATTATACCACCTTTGCATGGTTCTATAACACATTTAAGTTTAAGCAATAACACTAGTAACTTGTAAAAGCTGCACACTATTAACTATATTGACAACTAACTGATAATACGCTTTGACTGAGTGAAGAACGTAACTAACCGCTGGAAAGGAGTAAACATTTCATATGTTGTTCTCCCCCCTACTGTTTAAAAAAGCAACTACTGTCGTAATGAACAGAGCCAGTTTTTTGTTTCCAGTGCGTTTTAGTGCATTATGTAACTGTTACCAGACGCTTCACCTTTGTTAGGTTCAAATATTCTCCTAAGTTCCTTATGTTAGGACACTTTCACTTTCAATCTTTCTCTCAGAACTAAGAGCCAAGATTTACAATCACATAAAACACATACATTTTTATACAGTATAAGGACTACATGAAGATAAAATTTCTGACTGAATAATTATACAAGTTCCCTTAAACAGATCCGCTATATCGTTTTCCTTCTCACAGTTTAAGGGCACTACAATTCCCAAACCGAAAGTCATTTAAGATTTTCTGTGAAGAAATCATATATTGTAACCCATATTACCAAAAAATAAGCTGGTTTTAAAAACCCTCACATTATTTGTTATGTTAATTGTTATCCTCTGGGATGTGGCAAAATATTAAGCCTTGAGACCACAATTGATATCCTCACCGTCTCGAGAACCTTAAAGCTAAAAGAAAACATATCCTGATCTTTATTTCATACGGGATCATCATCACTGAACAACTGATTTCACATCTGGAGACAAAATATACAATTTAACACAACTCAAAAAATACATTTTCGCCAAAAAGTATGCCAAACACGTCATCAATTCACTCGAATACTTATGTATATCTTCATCAACTTCGTATACATTTAATACACACGTATATATTATGCAAAAATTTAAAAATATCCAGTTAACTGGTCTCAGTATGCATACGAAAGTAATCAAACCAAGTAAATGTGAAAAAACACGCCACGTTTCTGCCGTCAAAAGTCAAGATCAGCACAGAGACATAACGTACAATGCATTATAATTACAAGTTTAACTAATCTGTGGATAATCAACAGTATGACTACAGACTGAACTTTAAGAAAGCGAGGTAGAAATGTACCCAAGCTGCCTGTAGTCCAGTATCTTCCTGGCGTCTTTGATCATATGGCTAGCTCGTTAGGTTTACTGTAAATTCGAGCAACTCATGCACCGTTGTGCTTTCTAATAAGTGTGTGAGAGTGTAATTTACTCTAAAGGACTACTGTAATTGTAGTTTAACTAGAGGACATGAACGTATGTTTGTACGTTCTTGTCACGCATGAAAACGAAAGTTGAGAAAGTGTAGCTCAGATCGGCGCGTTTCGTAAGCTGAAAGAAACCAGGAAGTCTGTAAGCTTTTGTAGACACTACCTCAAAACAGCGCTCACACGAAAGAGCTCTTTATTCGTTATCAAGTATGTGCTTATAAATATACAGAAACTGCGGGACATGAAAACATTGCCAAAAATTTGATTTATAGATACGATATTTCCACAACGGGAGAAGATTTATTTGATGACTTCGTCTATTTGAAACCAAATTATAAATAACAATTTTTTAAAAGAACATGTTCAGCCACGTTGGGTAATTTAATGGACAATTTAAGACATTACACAACGAGGAAATTCGTGATTTGATTTGTAAACCAATTATTGTTAGGAAAATGAAATGAGAGGTCACAATGACATGAAAATGTGGCTAGAATTGGATAGACGAGGAATGCACACACAAATTCAGTGGGGGAACCCTGTTGGAAAACATTCACTTCGACGACTAGGAGAAGGGAGGATAATACTAAAATTGATCATATGAAGATGGGTTTGAGGATGGGCGGTGGATGAAACTGATTTAGGATCGTGTTTAGTCACGGGCTTTGGTAGGCTCACTAAGAGTGTTGGACCTTTCGGTCATGTTACCCCTTTCTTCGTCAGTTACGAGGGTGAGTCAAATGAAAACTGTAAAAAAAAAGAAATTAATTTATTGAATGAAAGCGATACACAACTACATCATTTTTCTACATAGTCTCCATTTCGTTCAATACAGGCCCTCCAGCGTTTACGAAGTGTATGGATTCCTCTAGAAAAAAGTTCTTGTGGCTGTCTGCGCAACCACTCGTGCACCTCTTCATCAGAACGGAACTTCTTTCCTCCCATCGCCTCTTTGAGTGGCCCAAACATGTGGTAATCACTTGGGACTAGGTCTGGTGAGTATGACGGATGTGGAAGACACTCAAAGTGCAAGTCTTGGATTGTTGCAACTGTTGCACGTGCAGTATTGGGCCGAGCATTGTCATGTTGCAAAAGGACACCTCTAGTCAAAAGTCCACGTCGCTTTGATCTTTACTTTACTTTACTGTAGATGCTTTTCAGCTATAAAACGACGAATGGTACTGTAATGAATTATAAAGGATGTAGCAGAAATCGATTGTGGCATATTTTAGGTACTGCCCCCCCCCCGCATTTCTCTTGATTGTTAAAAAATAAGAAAACCCAAGGTTAAGACTGTTGATCGCCGGGTCAAAGATTCAGGTGAATGACCTCTTGCACACGAAGCGGATGTACTAACCATTACAACTCAACGGCTAGTCACAGATGATGGATATTTTTAAGGTTTGTTCGACTGGAAATTCTGTGCAAGAATCTCTAAGCTCACATTTCACATTAATATACATTAAATTTACGTAATACATTAAGCTGTAAATATACAGTATAAGTACCTATAATAAATGTAAAGCTAAATTTATCGTAGCTAATTAAACACCATGCTTTGAATTCTGCGATTTAATTTCTATGACCAGGGTATTTCATCTGAAATTAGCAAAAATTGTGGCTAATTATTATGGCTCACCTTCACCTATCTTGCGTCACACTCTTCGAGAATCACTATTGCATACAGCTGACTTTATTTATGCTTGTATAACTTCATTTAACGCTTCTTTTCTCGTACATTTGTGTGAAGTTTACACTTACAAACAAGTAAAGATATAATTTACACTTAAGTGATTTAAGTAGGTGTGAACAAGTTATCACAAAAATTTCTCGGATTTTGCGCCGTGTAGTTTCGCAGAATCTGACCGACGTTTCGGAGATCTTTAATACCGCCATCATTAGAGTGATGAGTTTGAAATATCGGTCAATTTCTACGAAAATGCTAGAGCAATAATCTAAAAGGCTGTAATTTTCACACTCACAGCCGTGAGTACCTGATGACTCACTACGAACTATACAAAACGAAAATAATAAAACATGAACTCCTTAAGCGAGAGTGTATTCACTGATTGCAAAGGGAGAGTATATGCATGATGGCGTGGGAGATATTGCAACTTTCGTTCCCGCATTATAATTTAGAGAAATGTTTGTTTTGCCCACTGAGTCTTCCTAATCACAATTAGACTGCAGTATGTGTGTATTCCTGGCTTTCTATGCATTTTTGTTCTTGACGCCATCATTTCATGCGGACATTTTTGGAACAAACGAACTGAAACCTTTTCTTTCTTAATCTGAATAATGATAAACAACTCTTAGAGACAGCAATAGTGACGAGAAATAGACCGTAGAGAGGCAAGTTGACAGTTGGAAGGACCATGGTTCGTTACCTTGAAGACAATTGTATATTTTGAATCCATCTGCGTAAAATTTCTCTACCACTTCTCCGCCTATTACAACCCTCTCCCTTCATTACTAGTGAAATAAATAAAAGTGTTCTTATATAAATGATTCATTCAGAGTTGAGATTTCGAGACTTCTACTGTGTAACTGGACCAGGATAGCAGAAATGAAGGTAGGCTGTGATAGAATACACATAACAATAAGCTACAGAGAATTCAAACTCACATTTACGCAGTTTTACTGAAACGTGTACAGTGATACTGGCTGGTAATAAGCAAACTAATGTACATTAAGACACAGCCAAAGATTTTAATAGGTAGCCTATAGTTTGAAAAATTTCTTCAGCACGTAATTATTATAACAGAGTTGTGGAGAATCAAACCTAGGATCACGAGGTACTAGTAACTGTTATTCGTTTTAATCTTAATATTCTAGTATTAAATGATGCATTCTGCAAGATTACTACAAGTCGTCGTAGTTATAATAGGGACACGATAAAGGAAACTTTAGAACTTTAGGTAATATTTATGGTTAATTTGAATATATAAGTGTGAATAGGTTTCTAGTTATAAGAATGAAGATTTCTGTCTTCTGGGTTGTTGCGCTGTGTAGTTTGGTCGATGCTAACCAACGGTTCAGAGGTCATACTGCCTCCGCTATGGGGCGCTGATGACGGAGGCAGTGTGACCTCTAAAACGTTGGTTAACATCGACCAGACTACACAGCGCAACAATCCAGAAGACAGAAATCTTTATACTCACTCACATTTTCCAAACTTTTAGGGGTTAACCCTTTTACCCTGGCACCAACGAATTTAGAGTCGTTTCCAGGCGACAGCACGTAGTTATAGTAAAAGGGCATGAAGGCTGGGAGACGGTTGAACCTAATGGTTTGTCATTAAAATATGCGGAGCTCAAAATATGAAGATTCTGAAAGCTTCGTCAAACAGCGACAACTTACAAAAACTATTATTACATTAGAACGTAGTGGTTCAAATCTGCTAACAGTCCCCCGAAGCTCAAATTCTGTGCAGGCCTACATCGTCCGTTTCTCCCATCTTAGCCGCATATCCAGATTACAGAAGCCACCTAGATTTCGGTATTCTAGGGCCTACTAGTACTAGGCAATATGCATAAATCATCAGGTTTCATATCATGTTTAAAATATCGCATGCATATCGCCACGTGATATGCTTAAGGCTGTGTCATTAACATATTTTATTTTCCCTTTTGGCTTCTCAGGTCCAACTAAGCGTGGTATTCTTCGTTCTAAGTGGATTATTCGCAACAACAGTTCTATCGGAAGAAATCGAAGTGACCGAGAAAAGTCTAGAGAATGGCGAAGAGATCAGCAGTAGAAACAATGACAAAATCAGTGAAGAAAACAGCGAAACCTCGGCCAGTAGTAACAACAAGAATGTCACGACTTATAAGAACAATTGGTCTTCAGCACCTCAGCCGGAAGACATTCAAAGGATTATAACCCCGGTCATTATTACGTCACCTCATGCGGACCGGAAAAACAATTTCTCTGCAAGCCCCATGCTGGACGCCATCTACAACCCAGAGTATTACCAACTTAACCACGAACACTACCTGAAAACAGCTCAGAAACATAACTCCCACACTTCCGAGCACCACTACTCGCCCACAGAAGGAGATGATGGGCAGAAGAAGCATCAGTATTCACAACCCCTGCCACCTGACCTTTTCCTTGCTCAGCAGTATCTGAAAGTCCAGCAGCTGAAGGAACAAGAACGAAGTAACAAGCAGGGCTTCCCAAAGCCAGCTCTACCTGAAGCCAAAAGTAATGGTTACAACTTTAACAGTGATAGCATATCATACAAGCCTTTGAAATTTGATACCGATATCCCATCCATCTTATTCACTTCAGACAAAGGATCGTCTATGACGAAAGACAGTGGGTATGACAGCAAAGAAGTTCCTTTCCAATATACTCTGCCGACTCCAATGAAGGGTAACACCCACCCTTACCCATACCAGAGTCCGTTCTTCAGCGGTGAGACTGACATGGAACCTCCGACCACCTCGAGTAGCTCTACAGCCGCCAAACACTATCAAGCGGGCAGCTGGATAGATGGCTACAAGACCGGCATCACCTATCAGGAAGGGTAAGATACTTGCTGTTACGGTTCTGAACAATTTATCTTATCTTCTTTAAGATTTAGGTGAAGAAAATCTGAAATGCTATAAGAAATACCGTATCAATATTAAATGCATACATTCATTAATAACGAAAGACTGTTTCCAAACTGACAATAAATGGATCCAGTAGCAACTCTTGATCGCGGGATTCGAAAGGACGATTTTAAATTTACGATGAAAGCAGTCGATTAGTAAGTTACATAACAAATATTTTATGATAGGATACCTGATCGTCAGATTTATTTAGGCGCAAGAAATATTTAAAAAAATTTAATGTCGTCTAAAACTATGCAGCCTCCCTCCGTCTAAAGAGACGCTACTATAGTAACTAGTCGTAGCTCGTGGAATTACCTGTATTCGAAAATGCAAATAATTTGCTCTATTATTCCACTAAACAATTGGCATATCACCATCCTATCTGACGATATTTGTGTCAGCGGCTAAGACCGAAACCACAATTCTTTGGTATCAAACTTGAAGATAGGAGTACAGCCAGGTTTAAAATCGTCGTATGCACGTCTATTAAATATAGTCATATTTCCTTTGCATAAGCAGATCCAATTTTAGAATACGAATCTTAAACTGAAATAAATTAGGAAGTGTATGCATAATATAAGAATTATGGCGCATTCGCCAGAATACACGTTTATAATTATGACCTTTGGTCTTTACGAATGGTTCCAATGGCAACAGATTTTCCGGGGTCAATTACCTTTGCGTGGGCTAAGTGTAAACAGATTTATATTTCTGTAGAATGGAACAACGACATATTTTACGGAATGTGAAGTCAAGGTGTCACCTTCCACAAACATGATTTTTTACGGTTATTTACTGCCCTCAATTTACTAACTCGGATGTGTTGCAGGGAGAAGACGAGTATGTGGAAGAAAGTGTTGAACATGCTGGCAGCTTTCATACCACTCGGTCTGTTCCTAGCAGCTTTGCCCCCCAACATTCTGACCATCAACACCACGCAGTAAGCAAAATGCTCATACTTTCCTAGCATATGACCAAGCATTTGTGTACAACAGAAAGTTTCCTTTCATGACCGGGCATTCTCATGGTCCTGAGTAGAATTCAAAGCTAATTATATTTTACATTCTTCATTAATGTTTAGTATCAAACAATATCACACAGGTCTAGCATTATGCCAGGTTCTAAGACATATTTTTGTTCTTCGAAATTCCATTAAAATGCTGAAATATAGTGAACACAACCCACTATCCGGAAAGTTACATTTAAAAATACAATTTATTACTATTCTACAATATAACTTAAGTTAACTTGTAAAGTTGAAGACTGAAAAGTTCTGTCAAGAAATTTTGATTTGTTGAGTAAAGATCGGCTTATGTGATAACAGTAGAGAATTGCAAATTACTAAGAACTACGGAGTCAGTTATAGTTTAGGCCTATGCGATGTTTTTTTTAAACTGAAGATTACATAAAAATGTAAAATATATTTCCGGGTTATCATAATTATAGGGGATTCAATATTTTTATTTTCCGTCTATACACAAACTTAAAATAATGTTGTTTAAAATTATTTAAAATTATAACATTCTCAGTAGATACTGCATCTTGTTACATTTTTTGTATCGACAATTAGAAAGACTTTTTACAAGTCACTTCCCTCTTCCCCAAGAGGATTTGGAGAGAATCTTACAAGAATGACCAAGCGCTTTTGCCTTTATGTTCATTTTATAACACAGACTAATTCCTCAGGTAAAAACTGAATGACTCGGAGAATTATGTCCTAAACATTTGTTTAATACAGATATTATCGTTAACTCTGTTATATTCAGCTCTATGGAAAAAGGTCAGATTATTACAATTACTACTTTTTCAAAATAAAACTAAAGCACAGTGTTAGGAATTACTTAAATTACTCATATTATTTATACCTCTCAACAATATTCTACGTTATTTGTTCCTTCTTCACTTTAAATTATACGTCTTTATTCATATATAAATGGAATAATGTATTGTTTTCTATAATTATGCTATAAAACTAGAAATAATATGCTCATAAATACAACTTCAAAGAGAAATTTATTAATTACGTTGGTGAAAGCGTTACAGATCAACTGTTTTGCCAGATAATCTGCTTTAATAGAACAGAAAACGTGGTACTTTAAACGTAACCGCAGACAGCTGATGGTCAGCCGAAAAGACCAGTAACAGTAGAAAATGACTTCTTATCTAGTTCAGTGAGACATATGGTGTTAGAAAGAGGTTTCGTGTTCCTCACGCTTTGTGAACACTCAATAGTTTATCGAACTTGTAAAAAGCAAATAAACAAGCGAAATAAAAATTTAACACTGCTTTAAAAATATTTTGAACACAATGAATGAGAATATTATGTGGTATATCATCCAAATATTTGCCTCAAAATGCTATCTTCTTAGTAAATATTTTCACTGGTAACTACAGTGTACAAAGAAGAATTCGGGAACCGATAGCAGATCGCGAGCTATCAGTTGCTAAACACCGCTTCGTTGATCGAACCGGCACACATAACATTCAATCATATTAACTGTTGTTTAATAACCTTTGTTAATTGTGCATTAAAGATAAAAGCGCCCTAGGAGAACATCACAGTTATATCAGCACCATCTGTTTTAGGCCGGATCTACCGGGCCGTCTACGTTCAGTGGACCACGAGGATTCTGGCAAAACTAATTCTATGTCGTTCCCCATCCTTGATTTGTTGGACAAGTATGGGATCGACTCTCTTGATGACCCAGAGTGTGAAAACCGGATATTCTGCGAAATGTCACGGCTGGGAGGGGAGCCAAGCGGAAACGTTGTCCAGAAAGCCTTTTGGCACCTTGCGCATGAGTAAGTACTCAGTTCTTAAGGTTTCTGAAGATGGTGCGTTATAATAGTCCAGGTCTTTGGCTGGTTCAAACAGGGGGCCAAACAGTTAGTGTTTCTGTCCTTACCATTTACCTGAAGACGGCCTTGAAATTTCTTGATTATATGAGCGATTATTAGCTGCACAAGAAGTAATCCATTCAATTAATTTAGTTGCTAATGTTTTAATGATTTTTATAATGAAAATATTAATTTCTTACATCCTGGATAGTCTTACTTTGTTTCATATAACAACGCTGTACCAATTGCTTCAAAAATGGTAGGATGGTGATAACCAGATAAGCATTAAGGAGAGAAGGATCATGACATTTTGGGAATTATTCTGGCTTTCGCCTGGAAGGGGGGCGTGCGGAGAAAAACCATGAAAAGCGTCCGTCAGGTTAACTGGTCTCTCACTGAAAGTATAACATAGAATTTGGCACCTACGATTTAGCCAGTAGCTGCTGAACAAACATTCTTTTAGAGGTTAAACGAAAGCATAATAAAGATGGCTGTTTTCTGGGACGTTGCTGTCTCCATAATCAGGGTCTCTCCCGGCAAACTTCTACCAGACTACAAGGGCACAACAACTCGGAAGACAGCCATGATTATACGTACCTGCCACAGTGAGAAATCACATCTCACAAGAGTGGGATTTACCTCAGTATTTATAATCCGGCGTGTCTTTGTTTCAGCACCCCTGATAAGACAGCGGATGACATGGGGATGAAAGAACTATTTAAGGCAGTGCGAACAAATGCCTGCGATATCTACAGATGTAAAGAACAGAAGCAAACTACAATTACAGCCCCAACACCAATACTGAAAGAAGAGAAACAGTAGTAAACGAAAATGTATATTAGAGATAACCACATAGTATTTCAGTACAACATGAAAATAGGCCACGACCGAAATTTTCGAAAACTATTTCTACTCATTATTCAAGATGACTCTCCCATATAGATGATTTTACTTCTACAGGTGAAAGAGAATGAATAAGTAACCAAAGAGCAGAGCTGAATACAGACATCGTCTTAACTTGTAAGATATGCTCCTCTGCTGAACATCTCTGTTTGTTATAACTTGCGACAATCTGGTAGCAACTTGTCGATTTATCAATCAATTTAAGCAGGCTTCTCAGCCAAAGTTCTAACAAAGTCTTACGTGCAAGATTATCTAAGTTTTATGTAGCTTATTCAGGGTAGCCGGGATAACTCACTCACAGTAATCAATGGATAAAGGCTGGACACAAGGCATTTGATTCCGGTCAGAGATCTTTGCACCACATTTAGGTCGACTTCTATTCAATAGGTACCACGAGCTCTTCGAGTGTTCAGCTAACTCACTTCTATCTAACGTCAGGGTTAAAAATTCGTAGTCCTATATCCACTCACCGGTACGTCTTCTTGATGTGGTGCTTAATCACGTACAGGCACAAGTTCAGTGTATTACGCGCTAAAATTTTAGTTTTAAATGAAGAAATAAAAACCCCTGTATACATGACTGTCTTCATATACTACATAGTACAATAATTATAGACTTAGCGGTAAAACATTTTACATTATTATAATAACCTGAACTGATAATCAAAATATACGTATGTTGTTGTAGTTTTATATTTATGATGCGATCTTTTTATTTGTTGAAATATTATTTTGTTTTATAAAAATAAATAGATTAATATAACAAATGGCGTCATATTGTTCTAAAATCCTACATGTAATTATAATTGTTTGCACACTGATTGATTTTAAAGGAAGTATAATGCGTATTTTAACTATTCTTCTAGAATTTTCCTTGCTCTAATTACCTTCTGATTCAATTATAACTTTTTCTTTCCTTTATCCTCCAACTACTCTACGGATCGAACAACGAACTCCAAGGAAAACTATCCTTCATGGGAAGTTCATAATCACTCCCGCCTTTTATAGAACCTGAAGGTTTATTACCATGTTCACAAGTGTCCACCTCTGTCTTGAGCCACACGAATCTAGTTCACATCCTTGTATATCTTCAAAATATCCATTTATTTCTTATCCACAAATCTACGTCTAGGTCCATCTCTTAAGGTTTTCTAAATAAAATTCTGTATGCATTCTAAATGTTCCCCATGCGTGCTATATGCCCCATCTATTCCATCCTTAATTTGATTATCCTGATAATATCGAGCGAAGAATTAAATTTACGAAGGTCCTTACAGAGAATTTTGACGGGGAAACCTTTCAGGAAATGGTAATTTTGAAGAAGATAAAGGAGATCCGAGGTTGATATTAACAAATATGTCGGGAAAATAAATTCAGCGGTTGTAAAACAGGTGGAGCGGGCTTACAAGTCGTGTCTAACGGCGAGTTTTGATATTAGAGGCGCTAAATCTTCCGGTTCAGCTACCAAGACGGAATCTCAGTACTGCCCTGGATATTGCGGAAAATATGATACAGGTAACACTTCATATCCGCTTAATCAGCCGTTATATCAGTACAGAATTGGCGACAACTTAAGAAAGTCAGTAATAGCTTAGCTCGTTAAACATAAAAGAGCTGCATTCCTTTACACGCCAATCCACTTGTTTGAAGGCCTACCAAACAACGCTTTCAAAATTGTTACACTTGTTTCTTCCCACACGATTCTCCATCCAGCGTCGGAACATTCAATCTGGGCTACACTTCGGCCTACGCGAAAGACGCTTAGCCCCTTGAAGCCGAACAACAGGGGGAAGAGAAAGCAGACAGAGAGAAGTTGAGAGACATTACACGTGACTGACACAGAGAGAAATTTTCGGATACGAAACTTCCCAGGTGGGTTGAAGAGAATGTATGTCTTTCTGTATTCTACAGGATTTCTGAATTGTTATTTTACATTTGGAATGCGGAATTTATTACAGTTTTTATGTTAACACAAGGGAGAGCTATTTTAGGACAGGATTTTTATATATTATTTAAAGGACTGCGTGGGAGGTACATCGAATTTTAATTGGTATTAACCTTGGTAAATTTGTTATTATCTCGAGGATTTTATTTTAAAAGGTATGTAACTTGTTTTCGTAAGATTCTACAACGCAGCCACAGGCGGGAGAGGCATTAGTCAATATGGGATAGAAAAGTGGTTTACAGACTACTAATGCTAAATTTACATCACTAGCGGAATGTTCATTTCGTGTAGGAAGCAGTTGACTTGGTCTGCAGTTATGAATGATTGGTTCGAAGAATTCAGCCCCTAACACAAAGAAAAGACGACAGTTCTCCATTCCAAAGACCAACTGTTTAACACTGTTAAAAAATAATCGCAAAATGCAAAATAAAGAGTTACTGACTGTTGACTCTGGTGGTACAATTACCACTGGGGTTTAAAGGGTTAAAAGGCCATCAAAGACAAATGGCGATGCCACAAAGGCATAATCTTTTAGTGGTTAAAACATTGTGGCTGAAGAGGCTTACCATGGAAAGGACCTACACGAAAAATTCTGGATAAGTCCTAGGTTAGTGCCGGAGAAGTCCATTTTAAGATTTACGTAAATATTTGAGTCATAGAGAAGTGTTGGAGAATTCCTGGAGAAGTGCTGGATATTTTTTGGAGAACTCCTGGAAAGGTTCTGTGGAAGTCCTTAGGCGGTGTGTTTGATCTTGTGTTGTCGGTTAGTTAGGATTAGTTGAAGTTAGATTAGTATTAGTTAATTTTGGTTAGGTTGCGTTTCGGGTTACGTTGGTTTAGGTTATTTTAAGTTAGGTTAGGTTTCTTAGGTAAGGCATGGATGTTTGTAAAAGGGGGGCGAAGTTAGTGGCCTACTCGTTGTGCCCCCTGTTCGCTAAAAACGACTGACACTTGTCGCCTTGTAAATAGACTAATGGCTGAGAGGCTTAAGTCTGGCGTAGGAAAAAACAACATTTGTGTTTTTGGCAACAAAAGCGCGTCTTTAGAACGGAACAGTAATTCAACGAATGACATTTCTGCAGTCACCCGAGCGATGTAACAAACTGCAGACAGTCGAAGCCTAGCAGAGTGCGTATGAAGAGTTCATATACCCTAGTAAGCAAGATGGCCATGTAGGTCAGGAAAGGAAAGTAGGTTAGTGCTGTCGCAGCTTCGGAGCGGTGGATGAACAAGTGTGAGAGCGGGTAGACCAAGGGTGTCCAAAACCATTCTAAGCTTTATGATGTTTCCCCTTACCAAACACATGACGTCATGCTGTCTCCACGGTTATCATGCACCGTACTGTGAACATGCCTCTATGAGAACGTCGGAACATTCGCTTCCTAACTAATCCTTTACAAATCATTCCAACATTAACAGATTTTTATGCCATCTTTACCGCAGACGTTCGCAACGTTAAACTAACATTAAAGTTTCACATTCATTGTTTTCAGAATATATACTAGAATCTTTCGAGGCTGATTATAATTTAATAATTTGTAGGCGAATTCACATCTCTACAGAGCGCCTACCAGAATTGTTCTGCCCGTCTGTACGATGTTACAAATCGAGAATCAAATGTACGTGAGCGCTAAGGGCAGATACGATTATGGGCTAATAAGCGTGTCACGATTCCCAAGGAAAGATTATTTAATTAACTAAAATTTAATTTAAAATGTGGCATGTTACAAAATGGGTTAAAATGTGAGATTTCAGGTTCTCACGGCGGCTAATATGAAGGCGACGTTTCTGAGTTATTGCACTCTGTAGTGTGGTAGAAGTTTACTGACGTTTTGAGGTAATTGCTGCCTTCATTATCAGGCCCTGATGAAGGAGGCAGCAATCACCTGTGAAACGTAGGTAAAATTCAACGAGACTAGATGGCGCAACAACCCACAAGACTGCAATCTTCTAGTGTAAATTGTAATTCACAGGTAATCCCAGAGGTCCAGAAACTACTGGTTTGCCCAACGTCTCGTTCAGTAAATAAGAGTCGATTTGGAAATCCCTGGAAGGATGAAAAGAAGCGGAGCTGTTGATACTGGATCTAACTTCACTGCCACACCAGGAGGAGAAGTATGAAAGAGAGGGGTTTGAGGAGGTGTTTTAACCAGACCTGTCTTCATTCATACTTACACTGCGAAGTTGTCTGCTTTAGTATTGTTCTCTGCCGGCGCGACGTCGTTAAATAAAGGTCATCAGTCATTAGGCATTCGTTAGTATCACTAGACAAAGTGATTCTTTAGGAGTTTCATGAAAATCAATTATTTCTCGTCAGTTCTGAAACAGTTTTTATCGCTACTGAATTCAATACACATCACATGACTTATAAAGTACTGATGTAGGAATCCAAACAGTGAAGTTAGCAAAGAAAATAAACAAACAGGATCATGAAATATCTGCATTCAGCCAAGTGACAACCACTGAAGTAAATAGTTAAGAAGAACACGTGTCTGGGAGTGGAGCTTATTATATCTCGAGAGCATCATATACTTTGACACATCCTACTCTAAACAGGAAGACGAAACACGCCTACTTAAAGACGAAGACCAAGAAAGACCCAAAGAACACATAATGTCGGTAAGTTAGTAATAAAATTATTACATAACAAAATATGTAAGAATACATGCTAATGTACTGATTCTTCTCTGTTTAGAATTAAAGTACATTCCAACTGGCCGATTAGATCATACACCAGGGTATATCATTCAGTACAGTGACTGATTAGAGATTGGGCTGCAGGGGTTCGATTCCCGGCAGAAGAATTTTTCTCTTCATCACCACGTCAAAACCGACCCGGGGAACCTGCCCCCTATCTAAATTGTTTTGGGGGTAAAGTGATTAGAGCATGAAGCCATCCATCTAGTATTGGGGTTGCTAACGTTCTCTGTTACACGTCGCCTTCATATATAGGTGTTTGAGTGCAGAAACATCTTAATCCCTCTGTATGGAAACATGCGATTTTAATTCCTAATCCATGAAGAATCTGCAGAATTTAACCAGTCATTAAAACATAATTTATAACAAAACTATTTTAATTTGACATTAATCAGGTTGAGATAATTCATGCATGCTCAGTAGTATTGGTTGTAGTCAATACAAATCACTTTTGACTCAAGCCCTTGTTACTCTAGAAGAAAAAACTACGATAATTACATATATCGTGCTACAAAAAGAAGCAATTTGGATACTAGCCTACATAATAATATCAGCACAGATAATGGTGAACACTTAATTACTTCCCCATTTCTTGGCACGCCCTAATATTTCTGTTTGACCAGGCACTCTTAATGAGCAGAGGACCTTCGGGCTAAGTCATTTTCTCTCCACAGTACTATGCTAATTAAATCGCTTTAACTCATTATGGCTCTGTTTTGAGTACAGGGGCACCAGAGGATTGATGTCACATGCAGAAATGTGCTTATGATGGGTCTGTGCCAATGTAATGGTATCTATGGGCTAAGTTACTAAACATAGGAAAATATACGAAAATATTCGTCACAAAAAGCTATCCACTTTTTCTATACTTTAGGTCCTCTAATGTAAACAAAATTACGGTCCTTGAAATTTTATATACTAATTAATACTGATAAGCACTTGATGCTTACGTTATTTTAATGAAGACACCTAAACTCCATATGTCGAATGTGGGTTTTAAGTTGTGTTTGCCGTGTGGTCTTATAGACGTTTACTAGTATTTCGGAGGAAAGTATCGCC